ATATGATACCAAGTCTGCGTGTTTGTCTTTCTATCTCTCTGAACTTGCGTGAAAAGCCTGCGGTGATTTTTGTTTGTATGACACTTAACAGTCAACCAACCATGCATCATCGATTATAATCTTTATAGTTAATTGTATAGTATCAGCATTTCATCATAATTGTATATATGTCATTGATTTGACATATACAATCTTACCTATGATCACCGTTATGATCGTCGTACTCATCCAAGTCGGATCGCATTTCATCCGCTTCATCATTATCATCACTATCCACATAAAGGCAAATCTACATGAAAATAAATCAATGAATGAATCAGTCAATCGCATCATATACAAAGAAGCAGCCGGCTCGTACAATAGTGTTTTGTGTGCACGGCCTTTTCCTTTACCACCTGTTCTCCGTCATTGCCATTTGATTTTCATCTTAGTTATCCTCGACCTGCTGGAACTCCGCAACGTACAGGCTCTTGTCAATTTGCTTTGGGATGGGCTTGATTTCAGTCTGCAGTTCCGTTTCGATGCGGTGCAGGGCGAAGCGGTCATCGTATGTGATAAGGTTAATAGCAATGCCGAGGTGGCCAAATCGGCCGGACCGCCCGATGCGGTGAAGGTACGTCTCGGCGTTTTTCGGGAAATCAAAATTGATGACAACGTTGACCGCTTGAATATCAATGCCTCGCGTAAACAGATCCGAACACACAAGGTTACGACACTGTCCGGCGCGAAAGTCGTGGAACACGCGGTTTCTGTGCTGTTGAGACATTTTTGAGTGGATGTAGTAACAGGAGTAGCCCAGATCTGTGATCTTCTTTGCGAGCAGCTCCACGCGCTGGGTTGAGTTGCAGAAGATAATCGATTGGTTGATCTGCAGTTTCGAGAAAAGCGTGTTTAAGCAGTGAACCTTTTGGCGTTCCTGCACGAACGCATAGTACTGCGTCACACCTTTAAGAGTGAGCTCCTCCATGAGGTTGATTTCATATGGGTTCCGTAGGTGGCGACGCATGAACTCTTCAACGGTCAATGGAAACGTCGCTGAATAAAGAAGGATTTGCCGCTCCTGTGGCAGAAACGAGATCACACGATCTAGTAACCCCTTGAAGTCCTGTGAGAGGAGCTTGTCAGCCTCATCAAGCACGAGCATTTGGCAGTTGTTCATCTTCGCCACTTTCTTCTCCATCAGATCGAGAATACGACCCGGCGTGGCGATGATCACATGAACGTTTTCGTAGATACGCATAATATCGTCTTTAAGGTTGGTGCCACCAGTCGTGACCATGACACGTGCATTCATATGTTTCGACATTTCGATGCAAATCTGTGATGTTTGAAGAGCTAACTCCCTTGTTGGCACGATGATCAGAGCCTGAATGTGGTCTTTTGTCGGGTCGATCTTTTGAAGAACAGGGATTGTGTATGCACCCGTTTTACCTGTACCGTTCTTTGCTCGAGCAAGGATATCTCTGCCAAGCAGGGCGATCGGGATCGAAGCCTCTTGAATGGGCGAAGGCTTTTCCCAGCCCTTCTCGAAGATGCCCATGAGTAGCTCGCGCTTTAAGCAAAAGTCATCGAATTCGTTGCCTTTAGTATCAGTGACATCTGAAGTCTTCTTACGGTTGTCTTTCGGTGGCAGTTTCAGCTTGGCCTTCCAGGACTGGTCGTCTCCACCATCCATGGTGCCTGCTATCGACGTCATCTCCGCCTGCTGCACGCGTCACCGAACACACACTCACTTGCTGACTCACTAGCTCCTCGTTAATCTCACTACACCGGTCGCCGGTCTCCTTACTTAGTCAAATATTGTTTTTCACACACTGAGTCTCTACCACGAATGATGTTTGTATTAAACCTTAGCGTCACCGTAACGATACTTGACTTGAAACACACCTTGTCCGTTGTCAAATTTATTCCGCTTTAAAGATAATCATCAATTACTTCGCGTTCTGAAAACAAGTAAAACAAATGCATCACATAGCAGTATGTACCTTAAAACAAGGTCAAATAATTACTGTTATATGCTTCTTTTACATCGCTTCAACTAATAATTATGAACTGTTATTTGAAGGGGATCGAAAAGTTCAACGCGAAACGTCTAATATGAAAGGTAAAGGTTTTTTTTTACTTCAAGTAAACATGTCGTAGATTTGTCAGTAATTGCATATTTAGGTCTGAACAATTAGGATCTAAGTTCACGCCCGTACAGCTTTGAATGCAATTGAAATTATATAACAGTGGCGCCAAAGGCCACAATGTACATAACTTTCACAGATTTTCGTACTAAAATCATTAATCCATGCTCAAGTTTATCAAGTTTGAACTGATAGTATAATTTAAATCATCAGCAGTCGGCCCAGAATAATGACGACTGGATGAAGCGTTTCTACCATAAAGTTAGCCACCAATAGAGAAAAACGGTGGGAGACTTAATGAACCCAGGCAAGCAGTAATAATATCACTGAGAAACGAAACGATCCAAGAGGCTCCTGAGAAAAAGCAATAGTTACTGAACATGCTTATCACTACTCTAGAATACAATCTGTAGCACGCAACAACGCACAATGTATACTTCAGGAAAAAGTACTCTAATTTACTTCATTGATATCTAAGGATTATTTTTTTGTAGATATCTGAACTGTATCTACGGCATCTAAGTGTATTCCGTGCGTATATGTAATGGGATCAGTTTGTGTTAATACACCAGAAATAATCGGTATTCCGAGACTATTACAGATATTTTCTTGCGGCAGTATCAGCTAATAAAGCGGTTTATTCGCAACTGATCGAAAAAATTATCTTTTCTGCCTTATTCCGCTGATTAGCATTACAAGCACAAATGTCAGCTTTTCAGGGGCTAAAGAGACATCAACGAGGAAACACTTTGTTTGTCATGAAACAGGGGTAGTTGTCACACCACTCCCGTACGAATAATGCCCATTGAGGACTCGAGTCCTCTTTGCTGCGGGTTCACTCATTGAATGTTTCTGATAATAAGATTAGGCTGTAGTTTTGCGCCTCTAGAAAATCTGTAAAAAAGACTGACATTGGCTGAATTCCATTAGAGTTCCATTAGAGGCCATAATCAGCCCCATTTGATATGGATTGCATCTAGATAAAATCTCATCCCTGTTAAAAAAAATTGCGAATACAGGTTTTTTTTATCATGAATAATATCAAATGACTGACACGTGTAAAACTACTCGTAAAACTGTTTCACGGTCTCACTAAAAAGGAGATGAACATCCGCGTATTATGCCATCTATTCGTTTGGGCCAAAGAATCACCTACAATTTGTTAACCTTAATAAACTGCAATAGATTCAACCTAACAACGTAGCTGTAAGCGTTTATACCTTCATTATTAATTAAATACACTCTGCTATAGCGTAAATTTCAAAGGCAATATTTCTTAACATTAATCTAAAAATTCAGCTAAGGGCCGTTAATGGTTCTAGCGCAAAAAAATTTACTCCAAAGTGATTCTTCGGGCATGAGGTAATAAAATCAATTAATTCTCTCTATTTCAGCCATAGTGGACTTCTGTGCAGAAATCTTTTTTTTCAGGACAGTCATGCGTTGTAGTTACTACACTAGACATTGTCAAATAACATTAGTGTACGCTACTTGAATGTTGTTTCTTGTTATGCAGCTAATAACCTGGTTGGACTGCTGCTGCTATTAGTAACCAGAAAGGAAAACAAGCCAGTTTCTGGGTATATTGTGCGTAATATTCTAATTAGAAGTGACATCACGAGATCGGTTCATTCGGCTCGGAGTCGCTGGCGTGGCAGCCGCAGCTGCTGCTCACAACACCCATAACACACAGCCACGTCGATGGCAAGAACGTGCCATTGAACAAATACACGTACTTTCCTGCGGCTCGAATCACACTGTCAGCCAAAGTGGTAGAAGCATTACTGCCGCCATAACCACTATCACCGCCAAACATGACTGGCAGGAGCAGTAACCGCCATTAGCTTTCGAGCAACCCATCGCAGATCCCCACCTCGTGACGCACTCGCCGCAGTGCATCAGAATCACCATATCAGAATAGCAGTAACATGAACAATTGTAGAACAAAGCAGCACATTCGAAGATAAACAAATCAATAACAATTTGTTTGGTGTTTATTTTTTGTCAGCCAACAACAACGATTCATACCCTCATGTGTGATTGCAGCAAACACTAATCGGTGATGACACCGATAAATACCGACAATCTACAACCTAGTAACGCCACACTTAATGAGGTGATAAGCTATTGAGAGGATCTTGCAAAAAAATAACTTCTGCCAAAAAACAACGTATTCGTACTTAGTCACTGTTTTTCCTCTCTTACGCAAACTTAAGTATGGGGGAAAACACGATTCGAAAATGACTACTGAATTTCTGCAGTACTGGGACTATGAAACAGAAAAGGTAAGTCTGTGTCTTGTTCATCAAACGCACAAAGCGCTTGATATCTAATATGTAGTATAATAGTATTCACTATGTGTACATACATGGACCGCCACACAAAGAGGGCACGAATATGTAAAAAAAAGCTGCCAATTACACAAGTGTGTTCGGTTAATGTCTACGTACGCATTGTACCTACAGAGTAACTATTCGAATCAGGATACTAATATCTTCCATTATTTAAACTGTGTGAATAACTGATTCTGTGAGGTCGGAGTTTTATTGATTCTGAGGTAACATCTTTAGGCAAACTCGAGAATGTTCACATTTAAAGATTACTCAAATGAATGCATGAAAACAGTTCTTCTGCTAATTTCAAAGGCAATGCTTTAGGCAGTAACGACATTTTGTGGCCGTATTGCACGTATTACGCTTCTATCATGGTTAGTCTTTCCCCCACCCCCCTTGACATGATATAAACGTATTAATATTGTGAATAATCACTCTTCGCCGCTTTTCAACGGGACGCGAATCCTGAGAAGCGCGGAGCCAAACAACGAGTCAGTTTATGGTAGATTCCGGTGGATTAGGTAGGTCGACTAAAACGCGGAATATGTTTATGGGAACCATGGAGCATTTTCCCTACTTAGTCGTGCCTCGTTGTTTACTTTGCCACACGGAGCAAAATAATACGAAGTTTTGTCAGAAGTCGCTGGTTGCTACAGTTGCAGGGGCAGCTCATGCGAGAGCCATTTAAGCTCTGTTGTCGAGAGGTTGAGACTATTAGAAATTAATAAAATAAAACGACGAATCAAGAATTAGATACGTGAGATTTATAACTGGCTCAGGCCATAGAAAACACACTTCTTATTAAAGTGGCCAGCTCATGCCAAGAACTGGGATCCAATTAATCACCTCAGTAGATCGTTGTTCTTGACCATCTCCCAGGCCGCCCCCTACTGCTGCAGAAGTTGAAATACCTTAAGCAATGACAATAAAAATAAAACATGAAAATTCAGTGTCGCTGCTAGATGGCCTTTTGAGTCATAACCAACAAATAAAACTTGGTTCCTTAATAGTATCAGATCGTTCGATCAGTTTAAGTTACAGCGATCGTTGTCTATACATTTACCACTGTTGTATCCATGTATAATTCACGTCGTGGCACCAAAGAACAAACGGCTTGGCACAGCCCAGTCACCGGATCGACGAACACAAACGGCAACTCGTGATATAGTAACAGTAACGAGCCCTTACAGTCAAATACCTTCGAAATAGAGGCTACGATGCTGTTCGACGACGGGATTTACATTTGCTATGCCAAGAGACGATTTCACAACAACAGCATAGGTTTGCCCTCGTGTTTCGATTTAAGGCAATAAACGAACAAAAAATCGGGACAGAAAAGTACTGGCGAAGTTAAGCAGCTTAATGCGAACGAACACCCCTTTAACATTAAACCGAACGCGGAAAACGAAACCAAGTTCGGTTACAAAGTTGATAAAGAAGACGACATCGAGTCGGTGCGGGAAGCATACACATGTGCTAGTAATACACTCAAATTTGACTTTGTCAATCAATCGGTCATCATTATAGCGAGCCGCTAGGAGTTGTTAGTGCAGCAGCAGCTATGTCGGCAGATAAAATCACGGCATAGACGTAAGTTAGTAGTAATACATGTTCATACAGTTATTCTAGTTGAGCACAGCTAAGATAGCATGGTACAGGATGCCGGTGACGCACGGTGTGGTCTCAGAGAGCCACGGCGGAATGTAGAGCCGTGTTTGTTCCTGCTGCTGCTGCTCCATAATGGCTATGTACGCATAGCAATATATTCAGATGCGTCGACCCCCAGACACACACACATACCACACGGTACATTGGACAACACACAGTTAGGACGACGGCCGCAAGGACCCACTAGTTAATAAGGCAACGAACCGGCTGAAAAAGCATACTAAATGGACCCAGGCTATGTATGGAACGGCAACCCCGCTGAAAATCCGCCTCTAACACTCATTACGAAAGTGTCGACCTACCGTGTAATCAGCGATCGACAACGTCCTGAACCCGAATGCAACCAACAATAAATACAACTAGGTAAACTCACTTGGTGTAGTTGTCCAACTTGCCGCAATATCGTTTCCTTAAGCAAGATGGCGGTCGGGCGTCGAAAATGATGACGTGATCTCCGCTTGAAGCGAGCTGGGCGATTCAACACAAAAAGGTGCAAAAACCATACCTCTAAACCATACAGAGCTAAGTACGAAAGAGTACATAAAATATAAACATTGCTCATAAAATCATTACAGAAACCAATTCAAACGTGAAACAATGTAAAACAGAATAGAATAAAGCTACATCTTACTCCAGATATATGTTTATGATAAAAACAGGTATGATCAAAACGGAGAAGATTCAAGAGCAAGGCATGCAGTATTTATAGGCAAAGGTCAGGTTTAGCAGGCTCAAACATTACGCGGTAAGACATCAGATTAGATGGGCATATATTTTTAACGACTTTTCAATCGATACTATTCACATACTTGGACAGGCAAAAGAGGCTTTCGATGCAATGGTTTGTACTGTGCTCCAAAGAAAGGGAATCTCTAATGGAAGCACAGTGAATGATGAACAGAATCTTTTGCTTTTAATAGGTGTTCCGCGATTCCAAAAATTCTTAACGTCAATCGTGCTACGGAAAACTTCATCATGTTATGGTCTTAGGTCTTTCAATACCAAGATATATTCCGGTCATTTTAGAATGATTTACCAGGGTGCAGTTCACCAAGGTCTAAACAAATTATGACAGCGATAACACAGCTTATTGTTAGAAGTCATTGCCTTAAGGGGAAGATGTTTTTCTCATTTTCTCATGCTTTTTTTCGACTAATGCCTGGCTGATATCTAAGGACCATAGCTGGGTAGTTTCATTTGTCAAAATGAACTCGGCCAATGCCAAGATAATTTTTTAGAGCACTTGAAGTAACGAAGCAGTCTCGGTTAACATGTTAAAGGGAATAATTCATAAAGATTATTCCTGCCTAGAAAATGCCAAAAACAAGGTATAACTTACTGTCGTTAGCAGAACGAAGAACGCTGCACTTAATCACTATGACCGAAATAAAATTACGTTTCGATTAGACAATATTCTAAATGTTCTTTTTCGTTAGCTAGTTGACGAAACGCAGAAAACAGCTCTTACAATCTTTGGCTCCATTTTTTGATGCTTTAATGCCGTAATGTATACGGTCACACCTAACCAAGAAATTGTAGTAACTGCACATTATAATATATGTTGCCTTACAAGTTCTGAATTGCTTCTAGAGCCAGTTGTTGAAGGTCTGAATGCCGTGCGAAAGTGAATTATGTACGTTTTAAGCAGTAAGAGCTTAAGCATCTCGTATCACTGACAACGTCTGGTGAAGATCTTTATTCTTGAAAAATATTAGTACATATTTAACAACATATTACATAATTCATTCAATTATTTTGTACTATAATTTGATCTAAATCACATGGCGCGTGAGGGCCGTGTGCCTTTCAATTTTGCTCCTAGAAATAAAACCGTTTAAAGAACCACGAAATACGAAGTAGAATCATTAAAGGAATATTTAGAAACTGAAAAATTAAAATAGATTAGTGTCACTAACCTGAATAAACTCTGCTTACAACGGTTAAATAAAAAAAACTTATTATTATTTCTAACATATACTTTTTTGAGGTATAAGTTAAACGTCAAAAGAACCTTTGAATTAACACTGTTTGAAAAAAACTGTACACCTTTTCAGAAAATGTATTCCCTTTCCAAATTAAAAAAGTACACTCCAGCGAATAAATACTAATCACTATAAAATTTGGTTTAAAAATTAAAATCACGCATTTTTACAAGGACTTTTTTTAAAATTGATGTTACGGCTGGCGTCTGCTGGATGCATGTATCCTTGTGCTCATACAGAACCGCTGCACTTATTTTGCTTGTCCTGGACTACCTTTTTATTTGGTTGGTGTGACAATCATATTCCAATAAATGGCTATCACACAAGGATAACACCAAACATACAGTAAATATGAAATAGCTAGAATAACACTGAGCAACGAAATGTACTTTTTCCATGAGAGACACGCTCTTCCTATCCAGTATAGAGCGATTTATTTTTACGTGTCGTCCTCGTTGACCGGTAATGATGCTTCGAGCTACATATATTCCTTATTTAACAAAAACCTAATGCAGAATAGGACCAACTGTGACAACTATCACTTTCATATTATTGTACGGGTTATCGTTGCATAATCCATATGCAAAGACTAATACCTTGAAAAGACCATGATAAGAATTCTAACGTTCCTCTTGTTCATATTAGTAGCGAACTTAAAAATGAAAAACATATATATATATATATATATATATATATATATATATCAAAGTACATAGATTCCATCACAACATAAATATATTTGGATACCTATTACCTATTTGTATACTCCAGCATCACAAACTCATTATTCATAATAAGAGCTCTTAGATTGCTCAAGCGCATGCTTACTACAAGTAGCAACCTAGTTGCACACCATGACGACGTACGAAAAGGGCCATGATAGTAGGAACATAGTTTAAATTATAATACAAACTCGATTATCCATAACTCGCGTTACTGGTTATGGAACAGACAATCATTGCAAAAATTCGTCTTGGAAGTCTTTTCACAGCTTCACAAAATTTCATTTAAAAAATTATAGCAAACCGTTTTGAATTTGAGGATGTGTATTTCAAGAAGGTGACAACTCTCGTATTGTCACTGGTACGGCAGCGGTTATAAGTATTTTAATTTTGAGACTATATTCCTAACGCAATGTTGCAATGAGTATTTCTCGATTGGCATATTTACGCAACACTTGCCTCCCCGGCAGACAGTGCATCCAATTGACCGGCAATTGCTTTTCGCTCGTCAAGTAGTGCTCGTAACTGTTCCCTGTCCTGTTTACTTGGTGGAGGCAATGTTAGTGACGAGGACCTTGATGATCGAGCGCTATTTCGCCGTCGCCAAAAATGCTCAAGAATATCGTTGTCGATTTGGCGCAAACGCCCTTCCAGCTTTTGGATAACTTGGCGTCGGCGAGCGGCTTCAAGGAGTGCGTGCAGCATGCGTACGTTTTGTGCCGAAATTGATATTAACTGGGACTGGCACCTACGAAGTTCAAGAAACACTTCATCGTCTTGATCCGCCGCCTAATTTCAAAAATTCGAAAAGAACAGGCGTAAAAAATACACTGAACTATCGAAAAGTCGGCTTCCATAGACTTAGAATAAACCAATACAGTACATCTGATACATACTAACAAAGTCTCTGACAACAACAACGTTTCTATTATAATTACCTTTTGGGCAGGCGATTGCATCACACCAAGTTCTTCAAGCTCTCGCCGAATCCGTTGCTCGATTGAAGCGGCGCTCGAGGACGATACGGTTTGCCGCTGGGGTACGACAATAGGAAGTTTGTCTCTTGAAAACCCGATCACATTTTCTTCAATAAGACATGACATCAAGCGTTGCGTCAAGGTCCCATAGCGTTCATCGCTAAGTGATTCCTTCGTAGTTTGATGCAGCACCTATTTAGGGACATATTCAAAATACCAGTGCCCAAACTCCATTAGTGTCCTATTGTTTTAAATTTCATTTTTTTTATGCGCAGTGATAAGCTTAATATTGCTTTATTACCACATACCTTTACTAGACCAATTGCTTTCGCGACATGCTAAAGCCTACTAGATAGATATAAAGGTTTGCATGATCGCACGTCTAATGGTCTGTGAGGTAATGATTTATCAATGCAGGTACCGTTTCCACATTTTCGATCAGTCGGACAGTTGAAGCATCCGAAGCTGCCTCTCTCTGTTCTTCAAGTAGATCATCCTCGGCCCACTTGACAGTATAGTGCGTACCTAATGCAGGTACTTTTACGTAGTCCGAGGATTTAATTGCCTCTTGAGCTTCTAACAGGTTTTCAAGTACCTAAAATTTTTAGAGGCTTGTGTTATAAAAGTTCTGTTTCATTTTACGTCTATGTAGTACATTAAAAGCCTTAAATCGCAACGAAATTTTAAAGGATTATACGTCACGTCTGTATTCTACAAAATGTACATGAGTATTAAGGGTGAATCTAATACTTAACCTTTGTCCTTGCTATTTTGTAAAGATTTTGAGAATTTAGAAAAGTGTAGCGGAGTTGGTATTTTAGTAACTAACCTGAATATGTTCATCAGATAAGGGTTTGCAGTACTCGCCGAGATAAGCCCAGAATTGGTGAGGTGCATCGTTGGACGGCAAAGGTGGTACCCCAGCCTTTCCAGCTTGTCCTCCAGGTTCTTTTGGTCCTTTCATTACCTCTGGACTCACCGTGGCACCTGCATCGTGGCTGACGTTTTCGGTCACCACTTCAATACCGAATGCTAGACCACTTTTTCCATATTTGTCCTTCGAACTCTGTTATTCCATAAGAGATAACGCAATATATATATATATATATATATATTTCATCAGGATATCGATAAGACGGTTCTGCTCTTCCTGTGTATTCGGGTACTGTGTTTCTTAAAAAATCAACCTCATGGCTTATTATATCGACTGATAAGAATATAACGAAAGTGGTACTAAAACAAGGATTCGTGCTCGACGTTTTCTAGATATCCAACATACATTATTCAGGAATCTAATCTAACCTTTTTGGCAGATTTATGTTCAGCAGTATTCGGTCTTGCTCTCTTACTCTGCGAACCGCCTTGAAGAGGCGACGAGGCTCTATGCTTCTCTCCTTTATCCCGCTCCAAACGGTTTCGGTCTCGATTCGTAACGGGCTCATCGTGGTCAAGTGCCTCTAACTGCTCTCGAAGTTGTTGCTTTCGTTGTACGACAGCTACAAGAAGAGTCTCTAGCTCCAACTGAAGGGAATCGACATCTTCTATTGATGGCTAGTAAGATGTATTAAAACAAAGTTGGTGCATAAATAATTATAGACAACATATACGGCGATACGGATACAGCTTAGGCAAAATATTAACACAAAGGACACATAGTTTTGAACATTCTGTTGGAGAAGGTAGAGTTCTACACAACAAGGGTCCTAATGAAATAAAAGACATTGTCTGAAACAAGAGGTTAAAAGAGTCCTGCTTGTATACCTAGGTACTATCGCACTCTTTATTCGTATACAAGTTATATATGGAGTATAGATTTGTGTTGTGGCGCTCTGGTGCTTGTATTAGAGAAATAATACGAAACAGGCACGTAGATTAGCATATAATAACTGACAATATCATATGTTTATGTTGCGTCACTTCTCTCAAATGTTTTACTGATGATTTTTGTTAGATCGATTTAACAAGCGCACTTACTTTTCCAAGCCTTCCATCAACAATTGCTGCGTACTTTGGACACTGATCACGAACGTCTATGATTGGAAGCTCCTGTTGTGTAGATAATTCATCCTCGAGACTGTCGGACGTATTTTCCGATGAGCCCCCAGAAGAGCAAGGTTTGCTTGCCCGGCTAACTTTCATGTTTCAATTCGTGCTATAAAACTTCAACGACTTTTGCGTAGTCGGAGCATCGATCGGATCAAACCAATCACAGAACCGTAGACTCCATGAAATCAACCGTTCAATCTATCGATAAACATTAAAGTTCAAATGTTAGGATAACATAAATGCTGCCCATGTCTCTCTCGAAATCATAATAACAAAGTATGCGTTTCGCGTTTCCTGTCATTCCGAATGTGCGTCGAATTTGCGTTTATTATTATTATCATCACTATTGCAGCAGAAGCTGTTATTGTTGTTATGATTGCTATCGTTGCCTGCAGATGGAAGAGGTGATCTGTTTTTAAAATTATCGTCATTGCTATGCTCTACAGCTAAAGTAGAAAGTTAAATGCAAAACCTAGACACGTGCAATGGGCAAGAGAATCTGCGTTAAACCTTGCAGTGATGGGGAAGCAACCGCGCCAGCTGCTTTACGTGCAGTGCTAATTTGCTGTTTGTTTTCCTCTTATTATATATCGATTCTTGGGACTACATATTGCTTGCAATAATATCCCAGTTATTGAAGGAAGGGGATGTTAGTGAATTGCACGGATTTATCGTTACCTAGACCAAATAAAATTTTTCAGTTTAGATCGGATTATTAATCACTATCGATAGGATTACCGATGAAATTCATGTGTCGGCTACATGACAGAAAAAGAAGACAAAAAACATCAACATTTCTGGTCATAAATAGGCATTCATCCTTTACAGGATAAAAGGGAAAATATCATTCACAATCTCTTAAGTTTCAAGCTTTACTCATGTGTATCTCTATCTACAGTATTTTAGTTTCCGAAGTGGCTTTTCTTTTGCGTGAGGCTAGTTGTGACGGTAGAGCACGTGTCCAAGGCTACAATTTGTTGAACCGTTTCAGGAATTCGACCAGTCTATATTTGGAGGCGCTTATGTCGTACCGATAAAACCGTTCATTCGTGTCGATTCCCAGCATGTTAGCCTGCTACTTAAAGTGGATTGGAACTTAAAAGTGGAAAATGAACGTTCGATTGCATAAACAGAAACATCATACTAAAAAGGACGATGTGCATTTCTCAGAAGGGCTGGCGTCATAGGATCATAGGTTTCACTGGCTTTACCCTAGCACTAGGACCGACTTACAGTCTGGTTGTTACCAGCGACATATTGCGGAAAAAGCTAGTTAACTATGGCTCGTTGTATGAAACTAAACATTTTGGTTAAATATCATTCATCCATATAGATGTTCGAACTTTTACGTCCAGTACTGCTAATAATACTGCTTCAGGCATCTGATTTTCAAAACGCAGATCTCATTCACCTGTTTTTACACAAATATCTCAAACGGGTGTGGTTCTGCTCAAAGCTTTATTGACCTGTTATTCACCAAGTTTGTTCCAAACGACCTGGTGAAATTTCTTCCGATCGTTTCTTCAGGGGGGCATGTTCTTCCTTCACTGTTGCAATAGTCAATCCCAAGAAATTATCCAATAACGTTTAGTAGTAAAACTTGTGGGCAAATGAAACCTCAGGCGTCTGAACACTGAGGCTAGCCATCGTATAATGAAAACCTCGCGCACCTTCTTTCAGCTGCGTGAATACCCTAAACAGTAGCGAACCAACCGACTTATCCTTGGGGAGGGCTACTGCGTGATGGAAAAATTGTGGTACATGCATATCATAGGGTTAATAATGATGACGAGGTTTGGTTTATGATACATCAACGGGCTATTCTAAGATTGCAGTTTATCATTACATTTGCTTTTATTCACAATAACAATCCATGCGTGGCATTTTTGTAATCTCGTACTTTTCAAACATGAATTTCAATAATAGTTTAGTAGCCAATGTTTAACAAATAACCAACTCAACAGCACTGCCAAGCAACGCACGATCGAAGTTTTCAAAGTAGTTTTTTTTTTATGTATTTGACACATATAAACATAAAAGAAGTGTCCAGTCGTAGTCCTTGGAGTCGTTTGTGATATTTCCAACATTAAAACATAAGTGTTTTACGTAATTGCCAACCTTCGCTTTGTAAGATCATCGTAAATATAAACGTTGTGTCATCCACCGCCCACCTTCTATCCGTCTTTCTACTGCTTATCAAGTTTCTGCCTCTCCTTGTCTGATTATTACATTTGTTTTAGTCGACAATGAATATTTCTTCATGTTTTATAAACTCACATCTTCGTGCTTGTTTTTCGAACGACAATTTTCGATGGCCTTTAATAATCGTTGTAACTTGTTCCCTTGTTGCTCATTATTCGTTAGTAAGCAGAAATTTCCTTAGTAGTCTTTTTGTTTGTTATTGAATCGAATCGGTTACGTAGTGTATGTTGTTGATATTTAGAGAATGCCCTTAAGATTGCTCAATTGTAGATGCACCTGAAAAGTTGTTTCTACTTTTTCTCTCTCTTTATTTCATAGGATTGCCCTATTGTATACAGGCCATTGTGTTAAAATATTCGTACGATTGAGTGGCTGCGGAACGCTGCCGGGTGGGGATAACTACCCATAGTCCATGAAATTGGTCGATACTACCAAACGTGCATATTTTGAAATCCTGCCCTGTGGCGGCTTTTTTGGAGACCCAATTCGGTTAGTCGGTTGAAATCTGCAGCTATTAACGATGAATCATGCAACTATTTAAGCGCTTGCTTGCTTGAAGTTAAAATATTTATCGGTTTTTATCTAGTATTACAATGACAATTGCGCAATTTACCGAAAGGCTATCCCATGTTTCATTTTATGTGGTTTCCTTCTCTCGGATTTATGAAAAGGTTCCTACCTTGTCCCTTTTTGACTTAATTTAAACCAAATTAGCAATCATGACTACTTTTTTTTCTAATTTACGCTACGTTGAATCAATTATTAATCATACTTCTTCTTGATCTTTGTTATTGCACTAGTGCATGTTTTGACTTCGAAGACGACCACGTTAAGGTGGCACGCGATGTAGCGCGGCACCAAGAAGAATTAGGTTTCTTTTCACATCTGTTTTTCCTACTATTTGGAAGTTCTTGCACACTCATTTTGCTTTTACCTTGTCCCTCTTGTCGGCTTTTCCTTGATTTGAGCTAATGATAACAAATTACACTGAATTATGCACTTTTTCAGTATCAGAATAGCCGTATTAACTAATGCGTGTTATCGATTTAAGTACAACGACGTTAAATGGCTTACGATGCGTAGATGCCGCACGACTTAGATATCTACTTTTTACAAAGAATTGCCTCAAGTATCTCTAGGTCTAGTCTTCAATCTGACAAGCAATTCGACTGTACAAGGCAAAATGTACGTGTTTTTTTTGTGCATTACAAGCTGTAGAAGCACAAAGCAAAGAATTGCTGTAAACAAAAACAGATATGACATTAAAATAAAGAAGATTGATATTATTATAAAATTAATTTTTTGACCTTTACTAACATGTAGATTAACTGCTAGAAGGATTTCTCACAAATCTAGAGGATATTCTTATACTATTTTGAAATGCTGGAAACCATCAAATATTCACACATGTTTGAAGAAAATTTTTCCAAAACTTTCAGCAACTTATCGCACAAATAATGGCCAGAAAATGAACAATTAAACATGTTTAAATTTAACAACTTTTTCGAAAAAATACAGGCGAATGTTGCGATATACATTGCAGTTGTTCTTTACTTAGCTATGAAGAGAGCTATCTGATTCAGTTGCAGTAAATGCTTGATTGACACGTCACAAGGTGACTGTAGTCAAACGTTAAGAAATACAAATTTAAGCGAACAAAAAGTATCAGCATTTTTTGCCCATTTGGTTTGGCATAGTAGAAAAGGTCACCTAGTTGTATCGAAAACCGTAAAACTCGATAAAAGTGCATCCATATATTTTCCTTGCCCATTTTTTCTTCTTATTCAAATAGATTTGACTGCACAAAGTATTTTCTGTTTTACTAACACTGCTCCTCCTTTAAACAATACTGTCTTGTAGGCGAAATCCTGTACAGGTCTCTGTAGTTAAAGCTGTTTTATAGTCAAGCTCGTAAGATTCAAATTCTCAAATATATTTCAAAATGTAATGAAAGTTGCCTTATGTCTGACAGCATTCTTAGAGACTTGTAAAGAACAGCTCCGCAGTTCGACTTGTAGAGGCTTCCTGTTAACCTGTCTTCCTCGCCCTCCTTTCAAGGTCTAGATTAAATCACACCCCATGACACAATTGCTGAGAAAACGATCTGTTTATCGACTGTCTGTCAAGCTCCCTTCTCGATGCTTATACGAAAATAATTTTGGTAATAAATTTTGACAAGGACGTCATGAACTACATGGTACGTTGTAGTTAATTTCTTCAACAATGTTTTTCCCGCTTCGGATTTCTTATGCCTTAATTTCCCTTAAAACCGTGTGATCGTGCGACTGTGAACGAACATAGCTTGTGAAAACAGCTTGCCTTGTTTGCATAATCGGTATTGATGCGACATTATCAATTACCAGTTGTAGCAAAATGTCGAACATATTTTTAATTAACTTCAGATGACAGAGCTTAACGCACGTCAGTTTCCTTGTTTTCCTAAATGTTCCAAATGAAGACTCTGATTATCCTAACAGAGTAATGTGTGAAACCACGTTACCAATTGCATTACAAAAACTTCACGCAAAGACTATACACACGAGTGTCGTTAACATAACATTTTATTTTTTATATTATTACTTTAAGTTGACCTGCGAACCAGTACTATATTTGTCCTGGCAAAGAGTTCTCGTCAACACATTGTGCTTCTCTAATAGGCCTATGATCTAAAAATGTAAATTTACACAAAATACATCTTTACATACACTTCCATATGCGACTGAATTTCATATTGTCGTCCAAAGTCCGCCGATGTTCTTCAACACATTCACAGATGCAGGATTCCATACTGATTAGACAATTTCAGTTAAATATTAAATGGTTAATCGAAACTACAGAAAATAAAAATTTTATCAAAATTTAGTGCCATTATTTGGGAGGCGCAGTGGAACAGTTACGGACTTCTAGATCTCTTGTTATTGTGGTACTCGGGACCTATTCAGTCGAATATGCTTTATCAAATCTCGCTAACATCAGAAGCGGACGATAATATGTTAGACACAATAGGTTGTATTCTTTTCGTAAGACGATGTGGACGTGCCCATATATTGAATTCCATTACGGAGTACCACAGTCAGTTAGTCCATTTAGGTTTAGTACTGATCAGGCAAGAGTATCAAATGTGCCCTCGCATGTCTCACATGAAGGGTAGGTATTTTCTTCGACGATGAATTAATGGCAGTGTTAAACTGTTGCTGACGGCAGTGTTACGACACCCTGAGATTGACGACCTTTTCTATTTAATTAAGGAACAGTCTAAATAAAAGTTGGAATTGCGGTGTACAATTGGGAATAATACACGCATTTTTTTAAGGTCAGGATCTGCTCTGACATGAAATAGTTTTTGATGCATGCAAAGGAAAAAGAGTTCTAAGTAGGCTCACTCCTGTCTACACTGCTAAGTTTTCCTAATCCTCTTTGATTTAATTCTTAATGTCGAGCTTTTACTATTATCAGTCGCTGTCGTTTTCCCACTAATTGTTGGAATTTTTGCGACAAAACAAATGAAAAATCAACGAAAAAAAAAGAAGCCAAAGTTCAATGCAGAATACCTATAACTCGCCACGTTAGTTTCCAAAATAACGACGACGAGCAAGCTACAACGAATGCCAGCAAGTGTCACCTAGTTTTAGTAATGTGTAACACCATGTTGCTTTCTTGCTTTAGATTATTATAAAGTGCTGTGACGAATCACTTGACTTTGATATACTATGCCTAATATTCGTATCGTATATACTCAGCAAATTACATTCTCATAGATCGGACTTACAGTTTTTCCATACGGCAGTATTCGATTATTGCATAATTATGTGGTAGAGTTGTAAATCGTGGAATAGTACCCTCAATTATAGGAGCGAGCACTATGCTGTGCGCGTTTCGACAATTTGTTCATTAATAAAAAAAAGTATCAAATACGGGTCAAAAAATACTGGTATTTACTATAAAAAAACGAGTTTCAACCGATAATAGATAGCTTATATGGGAACAATAACAGATGTCAAGTCTTGTAACCGACTATACCGCATACATACAGAGGTTTCATCTATGACACATTTTGGGTTAATATAAAAACACACAAGCCCTACGAACTTTGATTCACATCAGACATGCTGTCGATGACCAATTTCTTTATGCGAATTTACTCATGTATAAAGACAACATTGACTAAATACACATATATTCGAAGTTAGTCGAAATCAATTGAAGTTAGAACTGTAAATTTAGCTGTTTAGCACTATGGCTAAGTATAGGTGATGTAACTTCGGTGAGATTTACTCCGTTTTCCTTGTTTTATGCTGTTCTTCATTTTCGTCTGCTTGTTTGGACATCAAAGCAGTAATTTTAATTGGTATTAAAGCGGTAGGTCTCACATCAAATGAACTGCTTGCGTCTGTATATAAAGTCGATCTGTTTAACAGGACTAGAGAGGTTCGGTCTTCACCGTGACAATTTTCATAGGGTCTAATCTGGCGAGAATAGATTTCCGTTCATCGAGCAATGCCCGCATTTGTTCCTTATCCTGTTTCGTCGGCGGAAGTAGAATCAGCGATGAAGTTCGTGAGGACCTTGCAGTCGCTTTTCGTCGCCTGAACTGATCGAGCATTTCTTGGTCGATAGCACGTAAACGTTCTTCTAGCTCATACTCGGCCCTCCGCCTGCGAGCCTTTTCGAGCAGTGCACGTAGCATTCGCACGTTTTGTGCCGAAATTGACAATAGCTGAGACTGACATTTTCGTAACTCCAAAAACACCTCATCGTCCTGTTCAGCCACCTGGCAATGAATGCGGTTCCATAGCGAAAAACAGGAGCACAGAGTAATTATCGCTAGTGCAATAGAATTAGATTCGTTTACTAGAAGCTGGATTCCTGCGTTAAGCTTTTTATAATAATGAATTTTTAGCGAACACCTGGTTTTCGATATACATCAAATGCCATCCTTTGTTAATAATAATAATAATTCTAGGCTGTGGTTCTTGCTCGTTTTCGACAATCATTTCAACCCAGTTAGCTCGGGAACTCACGCGAAATTTTAGCATACTGTTCATTCATGACCGTTCTCTATCAGTCACCTTTTCAGCAAGAGCCTGCATAACCCCGAGTTCTTCAAGTTCCCTCCGGATGCGCTGCTCAATAGATGCTGCATTTGGGGCTGAGGTCGTCCGTCCCTGTGCCACAACGAATGGCATTTCTTCACCCGGTGGAACGATCCCGTTCTCTTCAAGTAGGCAAGACATAAGACGTTGCGTCAAGGTTCCATAACGCTCGTCACTCAATGACTCCTTAGCAGTTTGGTGAAGAACCTTTACAATTAGGAACGGGGGTAACACCTTGCTAGTTAATGTAAAAAAAGAGTATAAGCACGTGTAGAAAGAACATGCCGTAATAACATAACTAATAGACTCAATGCTAGAAAATTATACCCGATTTTAATAAGATACGTATATGTTTATTTCACTAGCCGCAAACTACACAGTAATTGCATCTTTAGTAAGAGAGAGGAAGCACCTTCCAATAGGTGTATCGGCGTTAAGAAAATACTCGATTATTTCAGACATGCGAAATATAGTGGAAGCCTGCTCGTACCTTCTCCATATCTTCCATGAAGTTAACAGTCGAAGCTTCTGGAGTTGCTTCCATCTGTTCTTCAAGTAAATCCTCTTGAGCCCACTTAACTATGTAGTGGGTGCCCAAGGGTGGTACTTTTACGTATTCAGAAAACTTGATAGCTTCTTGAGCCTCCAACATATTTTCAAGTCCCTGAAATGAGAAGAATATGTAGATATAGCATATGACTTTACACATGTAATGCTTACGTTATGGAGTGTATCTGTACAAAGTGTTTTTAGTGATTATAATAATAGTCTTATTCTCAATGGTTATTTAGTTTCACATGTTTGTCCCCCCGACTTTACCAGACCAACACTTATGACACTTCTGAGTGAAAAAGTTAAAAACTAAAGCATATTGACAAGATCGTCGCATTGAAAGTGTATTGCAAACATGAGTCAGAAGCTTACCTAAATTAGTTATGCAATCTACCATAATAACAATCGTATTATCTTCTCTTATCTACCAACCTCAACTTGATCGTCGTTAGCTGCTTGACAATAATTATTTAAGTATGCCCAAAAACGATGGGGAGCATCGTTAGCAGGCAGAGGACCTTGTCCTGCTTTGTTGCCTTGGCATTGGCCACCAGGAACCTTAGGACCCGATTTAGGAATTTTGGGGGCAGGCGTCGAGCCAGATTCCTGATTAATATTTTCGCCTGTTGCATCGTGCCCAGATACGGCTTTACTCGATTTATCCTTTGAGCCCTGAGAATCAAATGTCAGCAGACGGAATCGAAATGAATCGCTTTTTAGCAGCAGGAAAATAATAACGGAATATGAAAACATGCTTTGCCTATAAAGTCTTAGCAAACAGTATATTAACTGGTATATATAATATCTAAGATTTAGGAATTAAAAACTACGTATGAGCGGTATCGTTTCATCAACACAGAAGTCAAATAGTCTCTCAGTCACACCCTGAGTGACACACTACGTCACTCTAAAATAGAAGGTTATTAACGTAGAAATAAACACGTTCTTAAGCAGACTGTTCTTACATTCAGCATCACATAAGCGGACTACTTTACCTTTTTGTTGGATTTATGATCTGCTCCTCGGGACCGCTTACTCATTGAGCCCCCCTGCAGCGGTGAAGAGGCCCTCTGTTTGTCACCCCGATCACGTTCGGTACGATTTCCCTCTCGACTTCCCGTCGAATCGTCGTGATCAAGCGCCTCCAGTTGAGCTCGAAGCTGTTGTTTGCGCTGAACCACTGCTACAAGCAGTGTTTCAAGTTCCAATTGAAGTGGATCGATGTCTTCCAAAGACAACTACAATACAAAAATGACAACGACAAATTTAATACAATACTAAAGCACCTGAGCAGAAAAAGAAATCGCCAGCTGTCTTACGGGACCTGAATGAACTTCAATCCTAACTGAGCATGTAACGCTTAAGATCTAGGAAAATCGATCGGCACATACAGACAATAGAGCAGCAATTATTTTAAAACGTTTAGGTATATGGTAGAATTTTGCTTGTTCTCGTTAGGGTACTTTGTAGTACGAGATTTGTCAAAGCATAACGTGTGTTTTACCGTGAAATTCGAATACCGATTTTGACGTTCTGTTGTTATTGTAAACTTGCTTTGGTCAGAGATGTCCACCATTTGATCACGTCGTTTAAGTTGGTACTTGACACAGTTGTTCGCGAATGAGTAAATATGTATTGAACACAAGACGGCGATAGCCGCGTACACTTCCGGTGTGCACATAATATCAAGAGCAAATTCGGTTACACAGCCAGTCTGCTGTAAAACAAGTCAGATCACATATGTGATACCAATGGCTTTTTACTTTATCTACGATTTCCACTAAATGCATATACGTGTTGCATGTATCTTCGTTTTTCTACATACTAAACTATGATGTGAAATGTGCAAGTCAAGCGTGGAGCATCACAATTTCTAATCATCATTGTCTTCATTATTTTCTGCTCTGTTTTATTTCGAGGTTCCTATCTAACGGCGCCGAGATCAGCTCTGTTCTTATTGTCAGCATCTGTATGTGGCAAAATCGAGTGATCAAATCTGCATTTCTCATTTTTTGATTGAATTATTAAAGATATTGTGTCATATACGTGCTTGTTTTACGATTATTTTTCATTCGGCCAGCTAATTCTGACTACCCACACCTTTCTGTATATTGAGGAACCTGGTACTACACAGTTAATGTTTGTACGGTATAGTGACCAAAAGCATTAGTTATACGACACAATTATACAATCAAAAAATAAGTCTGCGTCTATTGAGATCTTACGTAAAACACGTTCTCTCGTATTTCCTGACCGAGGAACAATAACGTTTTAGAAGAACATGGCCACTATTTACTAACCGTCGGCAACTTTCTCTTTTCTTTTCATTGTACAAACTCCACTTGGGTATTTTAGAAACGTAGACGAAAAGCAACAAATGACAATAAATCGATCGCCAGAACAAAAACCGTTCCTATGCTGAGGTAAAATGTCAAGTCGCGAGCATCTTTTGTGGATTCACAATGCTGACAGCCAACAACCATCTAGCCAACCCGCAATATGTCGTCTGTATGGCCAGTGGTAGAACTTGCAATAATACTCTTTAGTTGTCAATCTGTAAAATGATCTAGTTCTTTCATGTTTATTCTTTTGGATAGGCCTGTTTTGAACAAAGCATCCTAAGTCGTGTTCATGTGCGCTGCTATTTCGAGAACCACTAACACGATTTATCTGTGGGCGTTTAACTGCACAATCAAATAAAGCACATCGTACGTTAAATCTGCTGCTTTAGTCGAACTGATATCTGTGAATCACTAAGAACGATTTGTTTTGTACTGTTGGTACAGTTCGGCCATAGTGCGGATCAATTAATGTTGGTATTCACTCGGTGCTTCTAACTGATATGCTATATGAGTTTATTGGCTAACCTTTCCGGGTCTCCCGTCAACGATGGAGCTAAACTTTGGACACTGTTCACGGACATCGACAGTCGGGAATTCCTGAGCTGCTGCCAAATCATCTTCTAAGCTATCAGAGGTATTTTCCGAAGAGCCACCGGATGAATAGGGCTTGTTTCCGCGACGGACCTTCATAGCCGCAAGTCGCCTATCGCAAACAGCGATGACAATGTTTGCAATAAACTTAACCTGAAATCTACGCTATCGAGAAATGCCCACCATCACTTTTGTGCAAACGCAGGTCAAAGGGCCCTAGGCTCACGCCGGGAACACTGCACAAATCCTACAAATGCCTATACAAAGCGAATGATTTCTTAAATATTTTTCGACGCCAAACTGCTACTCTAAGCGACGACGCCAATCGTCCATTTTTCGATTCCGGATCGATATAGCCAGTAGTCTGCAATCGACTTTTACACTAACTGTTCCTAATTATTGAGAAGAGGCCTTTTGTGCAGCCTAATCGAGCTTTATTTGAATGTCAGACACGAAAGCCTAGACAGGCACAAGGTGGAAAGGGAAAACGGAGTGGTGCAGACGCGCGGCTCGAACTCCGACAACTTCTGACTGACCAAGGAATGTCTGCTTGCTTGCCTGCCTACCTACTCATAAAGGGAAGAGAGCATTTAAACTGGGCACGGTAAAACGTGACGATTCAAATTGCTGTCATTTAATGCGCGTTGGTATAAAAGCATGCCCTCTTTGCATGTAACTCCTTGGGAACGTCGCTAACGAAAATATGGACTACATCTGATAAATATTGGAAAGCTTCTACGTGGAGTTTTGCCTAGATAAGGATTAAGCGCGTTTGAAAAATTCTACTTTAAATGTCTTCATTGTTTTATTTACCGTCAAAGCACTATTAAAATTGACTTATGAACACAATTTCTCACATTTGTCATTATACATATCCGGACAAAACGGGAACCTGAAATCAGATCTGAATATTTTTACGATGTACCAGACAAGATAGAGTCAGCCTCAACCGTATTAACCTATACGATACCCCTTTAAGCAATGTGAGCCATACCATGATTAGTTCCAGTAATTTCGATCAGACATAAACAACAGAGCAGTTTGTTTAGCAATTCAAAGAAAAAAAAATCATTTTTTTTCAGATGTTGGCCCTAAAAAATTTTAGAGAAATCGATATTTTTTTATTTAACCGACGTCTACTAATATCATTAACTTACGCGTTAAAGAATACCCTGTGCCTTGACGGGAGGGGTGTGAATTGAATAGATTTTGCACAGTTAAATAGTTCTAATCGATGATATGACGGGTAGGCTATGCGAGTGCGTTGTTTTTGTGACATACATTAACACAATGCTTCAAAACTTACGTTAGTGCTACATTTGTTCTGCTTTTATTCAAATGCTGTAGTGGTCAGCGTGTTTACAAAGCTATGGATGGCTATGGGCGATCGAGCAGGGTCATATAATTTTTAAACAACCGTTGCCTGCATTTTATTCTCACTTGGTTTTGTGTATGAATACTTTAATAGTGTGAAACAAAAATCTTCGAGAATCGCCAAAAAAATGGTCTCAGAGCTTGTTACATACGATCCACAATCGAGATTTTAACCAAAATCTGATATCCTGACGGAAATTTATTTGAATGGTTTTTGGTCTTTGTCTCTTTTCGAAAAATCTATCTACTTGAATGTGTATCCACAAATCACTGGATAAAAATGCTGCACGAAAGAATATATTTCAGACAGTTTTCGTTAATTCGTTACGTAAGTGAGTTACTATATATATGACATTCACATAAGTTTTGACCCTATATCTAGCGCTTGATGTTCCTCACTCTTGTCCTTGTAAGCGGCTATACTTCGCTCAGCTTCAGCTCAGAATGGATTTTGAATACATTGCTGCACAAGACGAACAATAGATGATTATGGGATATATTCATTGAACTTAAATGGGCAAGTCAATTAATACGGGCATCATTAAACAACGCTAATAACAATTTTAGTTAAACTACTACTTTAAAATGCTGAAATTCAAATCTGAAACAACTGATTAGCAATGCTTCTTGTGTTGTGACTCTAGTGATTTGGGCAAGTGTTAGGAAAACCCTGTCGTCATTCAACCTAAGAGGCGATGCAATATCATTATTTATAGCCGATAAGAAAAGGCACGCCAGGATTGCTATTTACGTTGGACTTTATACCATCCGTTGGAAGAGCGGTAAAGGATGAATCTCGCGAAACGGTTCGCCCATCGAGAAGTTTTTGGTATTTGTTGACATCAATGTGAGTTGGTTCACATACGAAGTTGTCAATGAGAAGTTTTCTCCTTGGGGCAGATTTATCGATTCAGTATAATATATATATATATAGATATATGCATATTTGAACGCACCCTCAGTCTGCTGCTAACAAGACATCAGCAAAACCCTTAATCAGGATGGTTTTCTGTAGATTTAAGCTTGAAAATAGGTTGTCACAGACATTCACTTGTATATACTTACGTAGTAGGATTCATAAATAAGAAAGGAAAAATTGTGTTCAGTATTTCTAGAAGTTCTAAACTCAGTTCGAAATTAGCGTTTTCATTGTAAGAGGTAAAACCAAATACTGAGCGTTTGGATATGATTCTACAATATTAAAGTCTATCTAACTTTATCTAATTTTTATTTTCTAATGTATATATATATATATATATATATATATAATGACAAATAATTTATGATTTTTTAAGCATTGTGCGACAACAAAACGTTCAAACATCGCAATCTAAATTAGAGCGAGCTGAAAATTGCAGCATATTATTATCTCCCCAGGGCAAGTCAGTCCTATAAAGTTATGCTTCTATATGCCCATAAGTTATGTTCACTCTTGAAATGTTTTACAGTAATGTTTAGCTTTCGTTTTTTCGTTGTTGATTCTTGCATAAATATTTTACCTTAACAGAGTTCTAACATACAAAAAAATATTAGCAGCGTACTATTAAAGATGATTCATTCAGGAAACATTCTTTTTATTACATTATGGTACAAAAAGATGCGAACAAGGTGGTTGCTTGTCAAAATGAGGTGATCTAAAAATGTCATATATAGCAAGTCCTTCTTGTCCTTGCTTGTCCAGCGGCAAATAGTAACCTAAAAAATAGTAACCTATTTGCCGCTGTCCATAAAGATACTGTCAACAATGGCCGCTGCTTCTGCTTTATGCTTTTCGCCGACACCTGTTGCAGGAGTACCCAGTGACTCTCGACCGCAATAACTCATCTGAAATATAACGATAACAAATGACTGTCATTTGTTATCAAAATCAGCAGTTTGGTATATTATACTGAAATCTAATCGATCAAGGTTAATGCGTTTTTCTAGTTCTTTTTGTACCTCTTTTTTTTTTACCTAGAGCTTTCTGTACCTCTATATTGAGGAAGTTCTTTATACGAGTCGCTACGAATGTCCAGGGGCCCATGTTGCGTCCCTCTTCCTGCGCCCATACAAAGTTTTTAACATGTCGAAACGGGCGTAACGCATCGGCAAGATCGGCGACGGGGAACGGACACAACTGTTCTAGCCGAATAATGGCGATATCGTTACGGCTTAATTCCCGTCGTTTGGCTTCCAGAGTGAAATAATGCTTCCCGGACACTAGAACCACTTTTTTTACTGATTTTGGGTCCACGCAATCTATGGCACCCAGCACTGGCTGAAAACTAGTGCCTGAAATAATCGACAGCGTAGAAATACAGTTCTTTAGCCGAAAGAGAAATCTAAATAATTATATGGTTAGAGGATGATGCGACCAACTCTGAGCGTAGCAGTAACAGAGTGTACACACTGCTAGCAGCAGAAAAATACGCTATGTGGATTATATTTTGTACAAGGTTTTATCTGAGATTAGTGACTACAAATGAATAATAATAAGAATTTAACTTGAAGTTATATATTAATAGTGCATTCCATTAAACAAATCATACGTAATAAACAATTCAAAGTATAAGCAAAGTTCTATATAGTTTGCTAGTTGACAACGAACCTGGCGCCATATCAGCAAGTGTCGATGAAGCTTCGGGCAGCCGGAGAACAGTCTTCGGTGATGCAACAATCAGTGGCTTGCGGAAATTTGGCAACATCTGTCTCCTAATCAAATGGAAATACTGCGCTGCTGTTGTGGGATTCGCGAAGCGGAAGTTGACATCCTCTGAATCTGGAACACCCTTCTCATTGCTATCGCAAATCTGCAAACAACGAAATTGATCTTGATGGCGTTTACTAACAAGGACTTAAAAATGAGGCAGATATGCAAATGTAAACTTGTCAAATATGTTTGGTGAACGGCGATTTACTTTGTTCCTTATTAATTCTACATTATTTGTGTAATTTTAAGGTTTTTTGTACCTGTAAAAATCTTTCAATCCTTGAGGACGAGTGCTCTGATCCTGCTCCATCGAATCCGTGTGGTAGCAAAATAACTATGCCGGATTGCAAGAGCCATTTTCGCTCACCAGAGGTCACTAATGTGTCCAATACGACCTAGGGCAACACGAGAAAGGAAAACCATAAGCTTTATTACATATATAATAAATATTTATAAATAACCCGTGTAGAACACCTATGGGCCGATTGGAACAATCATTAGACAACAGTATTGAATTTCGCGTCTCCGACGACTGCTTCTTTATCGTGAGTATAACCAGTAATAAATATAAACACTGGGGTGATATCTAAATGAGCTAGATATTATTTTGCATGCTTGAAAACAAATCTGTTGTAAGTAATTTCAACCTGAGCCGAGTTATGGAAATCACCGAATTGGGCCTCCCAAATGACTAAGTTGTTAGGGGACTCCAAGGAAAAGCCGTATTCGAACGACATTACCGCTTCTTCACTCAATGGTGAGTTCACGACCTAATGAATAAACGTAAACAGTATACAGAAGGCACGTTAGCACTGCGTTTTTACAATGCTAGCATGACCACATACACCTGTTGAAATGGACATATACTTATCTAACTATTGCGTAAGTACGATCCTACAGCTAAATGCTCAGCATACGTTAAACGTCTTTAATAATATAGATTATCATTAAAAATAAGAGATTTATTTAAACAGAGGTGGCGCGCGCTCGGTGTGCTCTTGCACCTAGAATATCTATGCTTACCTCGAGCTGTCCCTGGTCGGGCCGTAGTGAATTGAGCGTAATAAGTCTTTCTTCGGTTTCGTTATCAAACAGCATTGCGTGACGATGACTAAACGTGCCTCGACCAACATCCTGACCGCTAATTCTCACGTTATAGCCCTATATAAAAAAGATTCGATGGAACAATTAAGCTTACTTCATATTCTCAATGGACATCATACTCGCCAGAAACGAAAAATCAAAAAATATACCTGAATCGTACGACAGATGTGCATATATTCGCAAACGTTCGCATCGATTGCCCAACGATAACGCGAATACTTTTAGGAGCCTATCCCACTACTTTTGAATCCTCATTCGACAGCTAAGTAATAAGTAAAGTATACTCGATAGTTCCTACAATTTACTAATATATACCTAATAACTATGATAAGTGGTCTGTTGCGTGCAGCACGATGAATCACCTGGTAAAGAAGCGAACCGAAGCTAAGAAGTTCTGCCATAGCCCAATCGAAGCGCTTGCCTTCGGTAAAACGCTTGGCACGTTCGGCTATTACAACCTTCTGTAGGTGCGGATGCACTGCCTGTAACGACGAAAGCGTATATAGGCGCTTAACATAGGCTCAGCACTTGGAAGTTGAAATCAGCTAACTAAGAGAAATTTCTAATAACAATGGCATGCTAGCAAATCGTAAAGAAAGAAAGCTGTTTTAGAACTGACTGAATTTTTACATATATTTATGTTTTTTGTGTAATTACGAAATTTGGAGGAACTTCAGTGGATTTGAGTCCAATGTACTGAAGAAGCTCGATGGGCAAGCCCGTATCGAACCGCATAAGGCCTTCTAGGGGGGCAGGGACGATGTTTTTCCAGCGTCCCTTCAAGGTTTGGCTACGGCTTTCATACGAGTCTGCCTTTGCAAGAGACTCAGCCAAGCGAGCGTTATGTTCTAATACAATTGCTGTGACTTCGTCTTTGGAAAGCACACCTTCATCCTATAATACAGAAAAAGAGATCAGAATGTTTTTGTATATTTCGACGGAAGATCTGGTTCAAGCAAAGCTCTTTTTCCTAAATTTAAAGCTAAAAATGCTATGCAATACTTCAATGGAAAAGAAACTGTTTTAATTTTATCAAAATCTGCGAATTTTAGTTCAGTAAGAACTGCAGTGAGCCTCCCACGACATCATGAGTTGTAGACTTATCCTTGGATCAAATTATAGCCACTGAAAGATAAACACCAACAACTATACGCCCTACTCTGGAAAAAAACGTGTGTACGCTTTAACTAATTACGCCCATGTCTCGAAAATTTATTGTTACGGACCTGTAGCTTCTGTGCATACATGTCAGGTACTGACTGCCTCGCATGTATCTCTCGATACATGATTGGATTTGTAAATGTGGGATCATCCATTTCGTTGTGACCCCACCGCCGAAAGCACCACATATCCACAAGGATGTCTTCACCAAAATGTTGCCTGAAAGAAAGACTGTCACCTTTATGTCGCGTATTTTTAAAATCAAATAAAAGTCACGGTTATGTATTCGTGACTGTCTTCGTTCCCGCAACCACGAAAAAAATTAGTAAAAACAATGTTTTAATTCGAAGATCAAGCTGATTTATCGGTAATAAATTTGTTGTTAACAAACCAGTTCATATTAGATATCCTTCGCCACTGTTTAAAAACGCCTTCATTTCGTACTGGAAGCCAGCCGTCTAAAGTACCAGTTGTAAAAGACAGAAAAACTTACTGTTTAATGAAGGCTCAACGTATTAATAGACCCAAAACAATTAACTATATATATATATATATATATATATAACAAGGCAAGCCTTGATATCGCTGCGGGACCAATTTATAGGTAAAAGGATGGCATCTAGTCATGCACAATCCATTTATCTATCCAACACTTAGAAAAAATCTTTGATAACCAACAAATATGTTTAGTTGTACTATGTACATCACTTAGTGAATTATATGGCCTGTATACATAGGAACCTGTAATTGAGAGCGAGCTGCGTAGCGACGCATACGGCTTCTGGATGATCTCCATTAACGTGAAGCACAGGTGCATCTACTGCCTTCATGGTATCGGAGTTATATCTTGAGGATTTTCCAAGCGCCGTTGGCGTCGTGTAGCCAACCTACGACCATATCAGATTGGTTTACAGAGACAATTTTAGACCATGGCAAATAGATTAAAATGAAAATGACTGCACCATTTTAAAGCTATGTCCTTCGCCGCATCCCAGCAGTAAAGGACTCTGTTTTTGATATAAAATGAGCATTCCGTCCTTGCGAACTTAATGTAATGCATATTGTAATACAGCATAGCAGTATTCGTTTACTGAAACTGTATTAGTTAAGGTATTCTTATTCAAACTTATAAAATTCTTGATAAAACCTTCTACGCGAAAAATTATTTTTACTATCGAAAATAAACTCGTATATATTATATAGTTCAGTGTTTCAAATGCAGTGATTTACCGTAATCTGTGCAGACTGTATTAAATAATGATCAGAAGCTTTTAAAAAATAGGCATTGATGTGCTACTAGTGCGCACTTGAAATAATCCGAGGTTCTGACTCTTTCCTTTTATTGTTAGCAGCTTCTGGTGACCATGCTTCGTAACCATGAACAATTACTCTGCCTGATACCTGATTGTTAACTATAAGATGAAGTGAACCCCCGGTCTTGAAATGCGGAAGACGGGATAGAAGAAGCGTTTCCATGACGACACCCTGACCAGCGAATGATGCATCGCCGTGCACTTGCACTGCAAGCACCCAAGGATTAGTGTGTCTCGGTGCGTCACAAACCTATAAATTGGCATAATTGAACGTAACTAAAAATAGCTATCCATTCGCGTTGATATTTACTGGGAAACATAATTCAAAGAGGGCATTAACTCACCTGGGAATAACTATTGTTTCCAAGAAGCTGTTGAAGTCGGGCGCGAGCCTTTCCTACAACCACAGGACTAATAGCTTCCAGATGGGATGGATTCGGCAAAAGACTCACTCGAAGATCACTCTGCAGCCAGATTAGTCGACTAGCTTATAATATTTTGCTGGTCTGAACATTTACGTCAATCATTTATTTTTACATTTCTAACTATATTTACAGAAAAGAAAAGTCGTTTGAAGAGCATAGATTTTCAAATTTAAAAAGGAATACTTTTGTTTTACTGTTTCATACACTGAAATATAAATATTCACTGACGTTTGTTAGCATGCTTTAATCTAATTATCTCGATACAGTTAAAGCCCGCCGGCTTCAAAAGCATTTTTTTCTTACGGTTTTATATTAGCATAGATGTTGCCTGATAATTCTAAAACCTAGAAGGTTCTGGAAAACCACAAACATTTCCCACACAAACTTCATTTCCGGAACCAGAAAAAGCTTATTAAAAGGGGTTCAGGGGTATTTTTGAAGAGTTCACTCCGAAACCCAGTGCCCATACCTGGAGAGAAACCGAGGTAAATAGATGACTGAGCACATCACCGCTGGCCTTAGGAAACTTAGATGTCTCGTATTCAGGCAAACCGCGCATTTTGCGGAAGACGGTCTCAGCGGGAAATTGCAGCAAACCTGTGAGGAGGTTTAATCGGCCTCGATGCGGACTACCGATCACAATGTCCGTTATGCCGCCTATAGGCGCACACAAAAAAGTTGTCAACCGTATTAGTCTAATTCAGGCTCTTACTTGAGTCGTGACCAGAAACAAGAAAATACCACCCGTACGAATATAGAGCTGTTGTTCCGCTATACTCAGCTCGGATTTACCCATGTCAGGTGCGATATTACATAATGACAATGACAGACATTAATTCATTACATTCAGCATCCGACTTATGTTTAATGCTGCTCATACTGATATCTGATGCCAGTAAACTTTAATGCTTCAAGGACCAATAAACTGTTAGATATCATAGATTGTATTATAAATGAAATCGTTTTATTTCAACAAATTCATAGAACTAAGGTCTTGACGTATGCGGTGCTAGAAGTCATTAGCTATGATGAACTAAACTTGTAACCAAGATCACAACAGCCCATTACATAAATATTTTACTGATGTATTTTTACGGTATCGTTACCATTATTCTGTATAATATTAGGATAAAATCGATATTAATGAATAAAGTACTTACAGATAGGGGCCTGCAGGAAAAGCTGAAGGAAAAATGCATTCATGCTTTCAGCTCCCTCACCGCCGTATCGTTTAGTTGTGGCAAATTTTGTCGCTACGAATTGGTCAAAAGTCTGGCTTTCTAGAAGTGCTTTGCAAACCTGTAGATTTTTTCAATAAATTAAATAAATGTTGAAACATCGAGTCGCTTAGATAGTTCAAGTTCATGTATTTAAGGTTTAAGCTTTACGCTAAAACAAAGCTAGCGGTTTTTATAGGATGTTTACGCTTGATTTATACAGATGTAACACACCTGCTTCTGGAATGGTTGAAGCGGTTTTGCCGAAAGAAAAGATTCCCGTTCTAACATCCGAATGAACCAATCTCGTCGCTCGCGTTCCTACGACACGAGAAAATTCTTGAAATGAAATAAAGTATTTTTCGTGCGACCTTTATTAACAGAATGCTTTTTTAGGTTCAAAATTAACAATCAACAGGATGTAACAGATGATTAGCTGGTCAAATAAGAATAGCGTTCTAGTTAAGCTAAAGGAGATAACGTATTTCTTACTAGATGCATAAATTCGACTCCAACATGTCCCGTATACGTGGCTAACATTCGTTTGTACCATTCGTCGATTGTACCAGTTTGTTCCCCATATTCGAGCAGGCCGTTTCGAGGAAGACCAAATTCTTCCGGAGTTATCTTCTCTGCCGATCTGTGAATAGGTAAACACTGTTAGATCAACTGTATGTAATCATTGAAATCACTGTTCTACTACTAAGTGTAAAATTACCGAAAGACACTAACTTCATGCATAATATTTGCTGATCCTTATTTTCTATTTTTGCTTACAGGTCTTTCGTTTGCTGCTGGTTAAGTGTTATGCGGCTGAAGAACTCCACAAGTTTGTTGCGATCGTTTCATTCCAATCCCAAGATCTAACTTTGGCTCAGGGCTCTAAAATTGAATTTGTGGGTTAAAAAAAATTGCGACACCGAGTTCTTGCTTACGTCATAAAGCTTTAAAGCGACCCAAAATATTTGTTTCGTCTAGAGTGAAGTCACTGATATATACTCATCTAACATTTACTCTCGTTCAATATTAGCTTAAGGAGATCCTTGTTTTAGCTTGATGATGTAAGACTTTCCTTCACACGCACCACACCTATCCCAGATTGTTCAGATGGTTTTTTGATTCGGACAAATAACGAGCAAGAAATGCTGAAAACACTGTTCTTACCTTCATATAAATATTCATCATATAGCTCTAATGATAATGTGAATTTCGTTTATACCTGTATATGTCTCTAGCGTGAGTATAAATTTCGTTGTCCTGACAAAGCTATCGTAATAATGAAAATAAGTCTTCGCCGTTATCTAACAACTGCGCCTCAACTACCAGAGAGCTTGGAAAAGAAAAAACGGTAATTAAAAACCGACATCTACATCTAATATGTTTCAATCGTTGGTTTTGCTGGAGGCTCCACTTTGGTTCTGATAAAATGCAATCAATGAGTAGCAAGTATAAAGCAGAAATATAGAGACAAGCAATAAAGGTAACTCATAGCTATACAACTTACGCCGTATGAAGTGTGGTCTTGACATTTTCAAAGGGATTAATTCTTGCACGCAGATGGCCATGCCGACGAATTTGATCGGCTAGCAGCTGGAGCCTACAGTCATCTGTGATGTAAAAATTGGTAATTTTTATAAAATTTGTTGGTAAGCTTTAACTGATTTATGTTAAGTGCTAAATACTTTAAACTGGACATCGGGTTTTGTAGATCTCCAAGATAACCCATCCGAAAAAAGTTAGACATGTTATACCATTCAGAGACCTTATTTAACGTATTGTATAAAATCACCTGTTACCAATATATAAATTTCAGCTGCGATAGATGGCGCACGGCTATCGTATACACCGTAGATCAAATTATCCTACAAACGGCATCCTACTTTTGCCGTTATATTTTGAACGTTATGTTATTCAGACAAATGCCTCGGTTTGGTTACAAAAGCTCGAAGAACCAAAATGCTTCATGACCTTTTAGCTTCAGCAAAGACTTCATCTGCATTAACGGGGTGGTCATGACGTGATTAGCTCGGCGGAATGGTGCATTCATCAAACTTTTTCTTCGAGAACTTCAATGTTTCGAATGTGCAATGGCAGGTAATACTGCCACATTCGAACCAAACACTGCCTAAGTTATATTCATCAAGTCTTGACCACAGAAAGCTTTTCAGCGTGTCTCCTTAACAGGTGCCGATGACACCTGTTGCTCTATGAACCTGATATTGGTAAATGGCATGAGAATTCTAATATGCCTCTTTATCTGCTTATTTGGCTGGCCATTTATTCACTGATGCACTCGGTGGAAGTGTGAATCAGCCGGGAAGATGATTTTCAATTCAAAATGTTCAATTAATACAATAAGCGTAATACGCTTTGCACGATCAGTGGGCCCTACCTCTTGATGTAACTGAATTGTATAGTATTGAACGTCATACGCTACATATCAGGTAATACCGTGCAATAAACCCAGCTGTTGCGATCGATGGGAAGGTTGAGTCCTGGGCTTCCTCAGCTTCTTATCCTCAGCTATTATATTAACACTTTGTTGAATGTGGACTCTCCGTGAGCGACTAAAGCGGGGCAATAAATACAAACCTCGCCCTTTTGATATTTTGCCCATAACTGGCCAAAGGATTTGGGAAGTACAACTGGGCGCACAGAGCTGTACATGTGACTTAGATGTAGTGTATCATTGCAGCGTTGATGCGTCGTGAATACATAACCCTATACACACATATACAATGCATACGTAGTATGCATATGACTTCCTGGTTAGATGATCACTCGCTAGGGTAGTAGCAACGCCGTTCATTTTAGCGAAACAACTTTTAAAGGTCTCGGAACCTTACCTTTACACATATATTTTTCCAATGGCTTGTTCCAAACGATTAGCGAATTAAAACCGTCTTTATTAGAATACTGCGAGTTCGCTTCAACGAAAGTCGTCCTCGTCGACTTAGACACTGAGTTTTAATTTGGATAATTGATTCTCCTACAGTTTGCTACATGGCTCATGCTACAAAGCATACATCATCTATCATATTATTGATACTTTCTATTATACTATTAAGCATTAGTAGGGTATTAAGAGGGACGATTTGATTGTATTCTATTGTGTTATCCAGGAATGTAATTTGTATGAATGAAGGAAGTTATTTGGAAGAAGTGCTTTATTCTGTTGCTCTAGAGGATTTACTGGATTGGGCTCAAGTTGGAATATATTGATAAGATGGATAGGTAAGTGCTCTGTTGTTTGCATTCCATTTCTCTGAAGATTAAAGTTTTAAGGCTTTCAATCTTATGTAGCCCATATTATTTGCTAGAAACTAGATCTGCTAATACTGGCTGCGTAAGATTTTGGCCATAGATAGGAAAACGCCGTTTGGATACAAATCATTTACACTATAAAGCACTATATTCTGCATTCTGATACGATACGTTGTGATATTATCTTTAGTATTTAGTTCTAAATCTGAGAATAGACGTGTACACCACAACTGCTAACGAAAATTACCTGCGTTAATTCTAGTATCGCTGGAGAAGGCCCGAAGGATCTGCCTTCTTCTTGAGAGCTTCGTCACTCTGAGAATCATTTCGAGAATGTCTTGAGTACTTAGTTGGGTACCTTTTACGTTATATCGTTACCCGTTCAATTTTTCCGAAAGTTTCGTAAGAGCTATTTTGTTGACACCTATTGTTGTCAAGCTAGAGAACAATCAGAATACAGCAAGCGTAGATGTTCTTGATTCACACAGAGATACTATTTACGAAGAGAATGTCCTCCAGGAGTCCCTTGGCTGTCGACCTGACCGAGCTGGCGGCGGGTCTTATAAAGTGAATGGCCCGCCGTTGCCTTCGAATCTTATCTTTTTTTCGTGAACGTATTAATCTTGCACCGTTTCCCAGACATATATTGAATAGTCTGACTTTCCTATCGACTTTACTGCTGTTCCATGACGGGTCCTCCCGGTCTCTTTCTCTCCAACAAGAGCGCAAGCCAAATGTCTTCCTAAAGAGAATGTGCTATTACACGTCGCGGGCTTTTTGCAGAACGGATAATGATAGACTTATGGTAATGCCGTGTTACCTTTAATGGCCTGTCATTTGTTCAGCATCTTTAGATTGGAAAGAGTCTACTAATTTGCGCTAAAGATCCAAAATTGAACGTAACCTTTGTCGTCCAATCGAACCGCATAATACTTATGAAATACAATTTTAAACAATGTTGGCTTGAGCAAGCATAACCCGCCTGAAAGTGAAAGAGAGATTTTATATGTATGTTTTATTTTATAAGTACAACTTGATTCGAAGTCAATGCGTGGCTTTTGAACATGTGATATTTTGGTAATTAGAATCTGAAAAAAATTCTTAACGGATCCACTCTAGAGTCACAAGTCAGTTTGAGGTGACACAAAGATTAATCAAGTATTTTACGATATAGCCTAATGACAACAGAAAAGAAAAACGTGCCGTGTTCCTCAGCTAAAGGGAATGACCCTATAAACTCCCCTGATCGACTGACGCTGGCATTGACTATAAAATAGCTGGAATCTCGCACCTTCTAATTATATGTAGCAAATGTATTGAGGTATTCATTCAATAAGAAGTGAAATATTTAACTCCTAGAAGAAATATAATAACTTTATCTACTGCAAGCAATTTTATTTGATAGGTGAGAATCGGTTAGAAGCTCGTAAAGCTAAACGCGAAGATTGCGCAAAGGCTGTCATTTACGGAAGGCCGGAAATGAACCGAACTTCTCGGTGGGTTTAACATAAGCAAGCATGATGGCTACACTGGGCGTTGAAAGCATCCCTAGGATTGACTTAAATGGTGCCTTGAATCTAAAGAAATATGGTGCCTAAAAATCGGGATGATTTTTTCTGTATGAAGTAACTGCATCAAACGTTCGTTTGAGTAGGGTATTTTTCTAGCAGGCGAACTATTAGTATTCGATGTAGTGGCACGCGTTGCATTATAAGAAGTAACAAATTAAAATATCTTAATAAAATAATGCACCCTTTTTATGCTGGACCGGCGTTGAACGTTGTTGTTGGATATTTAAGTCGATTCGTAAGTTGGCGTGAAGATAAAAAAACCACAGGTTTACTATACAGGTTCTGATCTAAGCTCTCTTATACGCCGGTTAAAAGTCAACGCAAACTGCTGACGTAATGGCTACATGATAAAGCTTGACTCTATCGGATAGCCTCATTTACAGATTGTTAGAGCTAGTGGGAAGCGCGGAACGTGAGAAGCCTAATAAAAGACAGCGGTAGCAGCGGGTAGCTTTGGCTGTGTGCAGCAGATAGAAGTGTGTTTGTCGGGACTGTATAAAGACGCTACATCCTACTTCGAATAGCTCTAATATACATGGGCCACTAGCTATATCCCGTTTACTTGACGCCAGCTGATTTGAATCAGATAAGTGCCGTATTTAGGGCCATGTGAAATGGGCAAACTTCGAAACTGGGCACGTTTTGCCTGTTGAAAAACTCTAACCATCTAGAACAACACAAAATGGCAGTAACACTTAGCTGAAGCATTTATTCGCAGAAGAGTTTTCTTCTAAGCTGTACCGTACATTAGGTATATTTTCCTAACATTCAGAGAAGACGCAGCCAGAATAAATTGTGAAATAACTACTAAACGCTAAAGATAACATAGCAAGCCATCTTGAACGTGCTTAGCCGGTTGTTTAGCTCAATTTAAGCAGAACAGCACGCAAAAATATTAATAACTGCCATTTATTTTTGTGATATTTAAAACTTTTCAAAACCATTTCAGACATCCACGGTTGAACCTAGCGTTGAGCTGTACGAAGTTTTCGATTGTATCGCAAGCAAGCTGAAGACCGATATCTAAATGCTATTCTATCTGGATGAGTTTATTATTGGTTAGTGCTATTTTTTGTTGGTACGACGTCAGTTCTACATTATCCGCTTCCGAATCGAAGAGACAACTCTTTCGTTGGCAAACACTGTCGCGGACGTATAGGATATTACTCAGAAGGACGTTGACCATTTTAGTTATTAACTGGCTGTATGTTTCACAATAAAAAACAAAGCTCGACGTTACTGATATGCTCCATAAATCGTAATGCTTTATCAGTCAATGTCACTATTGAAAAGCTAAAATAGAACTCCTGTTAGCCTGGTTGGGGTTTATGACTTAGCAGAGGGAACAAAGACTGGCCGTAATCTTAAACATATTCATTCTATAATATTCATTTACGTTAGTGCCACAGTAGTGCTATATTATCCTAGTATAGAATTCATTGCATTTACGTAAAGCATAGACTTTTAGTCATGCTCTTGGGACTGTTTATTCACTTACCTACTTCCAGTCTATATCCAACACAATGATATTAGTATAGCCACTTATATAATTACCATAGGTCCGTCTATTGATATTATCACTGTTTTTCACACCACAAAATAGACTAAGCAGTATAAAATGGTCTGCTGAAACATTCGTCGGCAGACAAGTGAACGGCATCTATTTGATTTATTTGCCAATTTTAACACATACTAACTCTGTCGATAGATACTCTTTTTACTATCGTATACCACATAATTTTACAGTATCAGCACCTTTATTTTAAGATACTGGCGTTCTTAACGCGGGCTAGAGTGTAAAACCTGTATAACTCTGTTTGATTCCGTGGTGCTGCGTTTCTTCCCTTTAAGGGCTTTCGTAGAAGCAAATGTCTGTCTCTGTTTCAACTTTGGGTCTTTCTGGATTGCTAGGAACTGCGAACCGCTGCGCGCGAATGAGTCTTTCTCTCCATTTTTGAGAGGGCATCGCGAGACCCCCTAGAGCATCTGACTGTCACATCTAGTCTAAACGGACGGCCTAATTATCCTACTGAATCCTGTCTAGCCAGCCAAGCATGAGCGCGTATTACCAATAATAAAATGAGCTGACACTTTACACGTCTTTGCTGAAAGTAGTTTACAAATAGCGCATAAGACTTTCGTAGCAGATATTTCGAGGTAAATAATCTTTTGACAATTGGTTTACAGCTCCAAGACAATCTGGTCATATGCTATCTAACTGGTCGGGATGAAACAGGTGGTTGTCCCCAGAGCTAGATGCAGAATTGCTCCGCTACTGGCCAAAGTAATATCAACAAGAGGCCTTGAGCCGTTTACTATACCTTTCATCTCATAGAAAAACGGACCGAACGGCTCGTCCACGGTCTTTCCTGTGTCCAGAACTACTAATTCATTGATCGCGAGTAGACGGTCGGACAGTCACTTTACTGCGCGATATTTTTCTGGTAGTGACGCTGCTATCCAACAGCGGGGAATGAATGCATCTTTCGTCCTTCTTCGTTTTATTGATGGCGTCTTCGCATATTTCAGCACGAATCGCATGTCGCCTCTATCCAGGCCTGTCTATTTCACTAGCCGTGTTTGTGTTTAAGCCATCGTTGCTCCGTCGCAGTGTTTCTCTCCAGCTTTTTGCTCGGATCTCCGCTTTTGTTCTTTGCTCCTTAGACTTCCCTCTGTAGTATTGCTTTTAAGAGGCACAACTGGTCCTGAACTGATGACAACCCAGTTCTAACTATTTACCAAGATCACTATTTACGAAATGGGTCTCAGAGGGAAGCGGAGGTGTAAGAGTGTATCGACTTTGCTTACATGGTAGGGGTGCAGCAGGATTGTGATATGAGTAAGATTACTGACCCCGATATACTTGATACAAATAAAAATACAACTGAAAAGGAATTATCATGTAAATCTCAACGAAAACAGCACATATATGTATATACATATAAACTTTGTGGGAGATGGATAGGAAAATGTATTGCATGTAATAGTTGGAACACTGTAATTGAAGAAACTAATAGTATAAAAAAAAACGTATCTGCCCCGATTCTAATACAAAAAACGTTTTAAAGTCATGAAATCTATGATTAAATGTGATTGCCGGTTTAGGATACTTAGTATTTCATTTAGCGTAGCAGTAACAGAACACTAATTTTCAGGTGCGAATACCCCACGACTATGAAAAATGAGCATTTTCAATATGCAGGCGAGTTTAGAAAAAAAAAAAAGCCAATTATTTTCAATTGACGATGCTAGGCTATGGCAATGACATCGTAGGGGGTAATCCTGTCAATCGTATTTAATAGACCCAGGCCACCCACGTTATGATGACGGAAGTGGACGCTAAATAGCTTAGAGGAAGCGGACCTCCTAATTACTGTTACCCGCACAGTTACCTGCTGATAGATGAAATTATACAGCGAACTATACTTTATGACCAGAAGATTATATAACAGGTCTTGCTTTCTTTAATGTTTTACTAGCTTAGGTGCAAAAAAGGTCTATCTGTAAAGTAAATGTTTCTCAATATAAGTAATGTTTATTTAGTGATTTAAGTTGATGAAATTGACGCTTCTTAACGCAAACGAGAAAAACTGCAATTCGCATAAGGAAAATCAATAGTTTCTAAGTAGCTGGCTTCTAGAATACCTAAATATACAAGAACTATGCATCGTAACCACGAAACCGCAACATCTGTTTACTTCCTTTTAGCTTCTTTTTCCGTTTAAGTTTTAATATTTTGTTGTCTGTTCAAAACATGCCTAACTGTCGACTTCGTTGGTATAATATTATTGTGCCATAATTGTTTTGTTTTTAATAATATAGTTCATGTTATGTCCTTTTTAGTTCCTCTTTATTCAGACAGTATCATCACTATGGCTCTACTAACACACTGGAAGGTCAGCGTGCTCAAGACAAAGTGTGTACCTCTAACGCTCCATCCACGCGACCGATTAACTGTAATTAAGCAGAGGATTTATCGGATAAACTACAGTCTCACTGTGCAGACGCCAGATAATTAGCATCAAGCCTGATATGCTCCTCAAAAGAGCCTACTAGCATGATGGAATGGTTTTTCATAAAAATAAAAAAAAGTAACAATGTGTGTTGAGTTGAATAACCAGGAAATGTAATTAAATATAGTTTTTTTTATCGATTACATTATTATATACATAGATATTGTACTTACGAGGACGTTCATGTCTGTAGCTTTATGAATGCTCAGGGACTGTACACTGAAGGTATGCAAAAATATGTTAATTTATTATCTAATTTTTTTTGAGGTAACTAATCGAACGGGACGCAATGTTCAGTTGTAGGCTCCTTTCAATCAGACAGCAAAAAATCATTTAAAAAACAGAAGCCAAACATAAAAATTATTATTTTTATTTATATTTTTTTCATATTGAATTTATATTGAACTATGAAATTACTATTTAGCACATACATTGATTGTGGTTGATGGCAAAAACGTTTTTATTTGGGAGCCACTTGTCTGAAGTAATGCTTAATATCAATGCAGGACGTAAAACTCGAAATATTCGAGACATACCAATATGGGTCGCTAGTTAGTTACGTGAGTTCGACTTACTTTTCATAGAGTAGTTCAATACTGGTGGAGTTGAGATCGAATCGACAGAGCTGATAGTCTGCGTTGACCAATAACGCCGTAGAAGACGTTGTAGTTTGCTACATTACCAGATAAAACGGAGACAAGTGGATTACTGTTGTTTCATCAGAGATTGTGCTAAAATCTAGACTAAGTCACTACCTTAAGTGTTTTCGGCGACCTTTTTAGGTAGAACTGAAAATTTAGTAGACGCGGTTTATCAGACGTTCTCCTACGAAAGAGTCCCATACCTAAGCCTCGATCATACGAACTATTCCAGTATACAACTGGGCACTATCTAAATGTATGCCATATTTCATTAAAAACAATGAAGCGAAGTTCTAGTAACAACACACCTCTAATCCCATGGAAACACCTAGTACGCTGCTCACGCGTGCCCAGTGTGTAACTGTCCGGAGGGGATACGCAGAGACCCGGTCAAATATCCTCAGGGTAGAGCTGTCCCTTGTGGCGCTACTGGCGACTACTAAATAGCGCCCAACCCCACACAGACAGGTTACGGCTCCGGACGGCACTGCAAATGAATTCGGTTCGGCTTGTTTTTTCAGTTGTATCATAAACCCATAGGAATATTGAAGCGAAGCAGGCCTTTTCTCTGCTTAGAACTGAAGTTAAATGAGTGTAAATTGCTTAGATTCTCTATTCGTAACTGAGTTATATTATAGTATACAATTTTTTTTTTTGTTTTCTTCAATAAGACATTTTTTGTAACAATTATAGTAGCTATATTACCGAATAGCTCTCAATTTCGTTCACCAAATTCGAATAAACCAATGATATGTAAAAGCAGATAGATATGGACACACACGTATAATGATGATAGCTACCTTCCACCTCGTTCGCGCCAGTTGGTCGGGCAGTGTAAGCTTTAGGGAACTTTGGCGTTGCATGACGATTTAAATGGAAAACCCCTCCATCATCACGACCAATGAAGAGTTCCTGATCTGTGCATCAAACGCCATGAGAAAAGTAACCAAAGCCTGAAACATTTTTTTAAGGCCGATGCAAAGAAATCGGAACGTTTGAGAGATCTTACCAATAACAGAAAGCGCAGTAAATTGCAAATTGTTGAGCGAAAGCTTTATTCTAGCTGAACAGACGAGCTTAATCGTTGATTGTGGCGCTACCATGAGATCGTCGAGGGCGTTGTCAGTTTCCTGTATATCGAGACAATTAGCTTGTTAAATATTCTTAGAGGTGAAACTTATCATTTAATTGCCATAGAGTTCGTTGGGCAAATTACAAGTTAATGCTAGATGCAACTCAATCTGCATGATGGATTTGGATGGAGGATGGATTCTATTAGATTTATGCAAGTGAAATAACTGTTCTTAGCAATTTTTTAAAATTTATTTATCTATTTACACTTGTACCTGGATATGAAACAACGACCAAAAGACAAGGTGTCCTTCGAAGTCTAGTGTAACTATGGACGTTTCTTCTTCATTGTCGCTCAGTTCTCCACGCCTGGATCATCATCAGATGATTATCACATACATTATCCACAACGTTAATCGACCTTTGTGTTTCAGATGGTTAAACGCGAGTGGTTTCAAGAAAATAAATAACGTAACATAGAGAAGTTTTGTTTTTATGCAGACATCACATCAAATTATCCTTATGTCTAATTTAAAGGTTCTATTGAGCAGTTGCTCGTAGAATTCAATTTTGACAATTTCCCACATTACCTTGTTGTCAATGAACATAAGCCAACGATCCGGCACAGCTCTTTACTTTCCAATGCTGAGCTGAACGCTGCCGCTCGTCGCGGCACCATCAATCCACCCCAGCTGATTCCATCCGAGAACCAAATACAGAAACAGCCACTTATATTTGATTTTAAAGAGGCCTCAGACAAATATGAAAAATACTTGTACATTTGGGTCGAGTGTGGTGCCTTGTCAAAATATATGATCGTAAGTGCTATGGCCTTCACAGTCATTACATGTCTAGTATTTCTCAGCAACCTATGTTGAAAACGACGGCCTTACTGCATTAAGTGGCATAAATAAATCTAAAGGTCATGCAAAATAATCTTTTGATTTTTTTAGAGCCAATTAAAGCATGTTCACGTTGCTAATTTAGTTGGTAACAAGGTGTTGTCAAGGAATCAGAGATGCGGGGCCAATCGCCATAGGTCCTGCAGTGCTGCTATGCCTGACAACGGTGTTCAAGCGCGAATGAGCGTTATAATGTCTTTCGTATTGTTGATAGTGTGGAGATGAAAGTCAAATAGATCCGCACAAACGGATCAGAACCATTCAACCGGGTACGACAACCAAAAAACTTATGACACGTACAACTGACAAAAGGTTTTCTTGAATGAATTCTTTCAACGAATTGGCCATTTTAATGGTTTGAGTCGTAATAACGTGTATTATAATATACGTATCCTCTACATCTAAACACAAATTAAGCTACACGATAACAGCCGTAGCGAATTTGTACAGACGACAAGGCGAGCTTACTTGCTAAAACCGGCGGCCGGCGTAATGGACGATGTAGTGCGACGCAGGTCCCAGGCCGCAAGACTACTGTCTTCTAAGGCGGCAACCACAATCTCGTCCCCAAGCCATGTTAATCGCTGGGGAGGACTTCGGCATGTCAAAAATCTACATCAAATGAAACAATATTGATACACATAGCAAATAACTTAATTCGTCGACAATCTGGAATCTTCTCTGTGTAATTGACATCAAGAAATTTTGACTGTCCAAGAAAGGCTTTCCCACAACAAAAGCTGAGGCTATAGCTTCTTAATCCACTTGCAATTAAACGTAGCCGACATACTGCTCTATATCAACGACATGCTACTGTTAAGGTAGCTACTGATAAGCTAATTAAGAATATTGTCCTAAACACCAGATGCGTAAATGAGATGGTTACGAGACAGTTACTCAATCAGCTCTCTGCTCTCACGCAACTGAATCAGCGAGTTAAAAAGACACAGAACGCTCCCGTTAGCTATTTGAGGGGTAAAGAGTAGCAACGTTTACTTCGTTCGGAATTAATCTCGCCTGCTTTTAAAAGAAAATGAAACAAAGGACAACTTTACTCTTTCGGTTGCATGGGTTCCCTTGAATCCCAAAGACCAAGACCGCACTCTGGCACACCGTTATCCTCTTCTTTCTGGGTTTGAAATGCGCATGCTATACGAGAAGCCTTTGAAGGAGCTGTAGCGACGTCAATCACTGGTAGTGAGTGGTAAAGGGGCAAATTCACCTATAACGATCAAAAAACGTGCAATGATTTTCAGTACACCTGCAAAAAAACACTATTATTTTCGGTTCGTCTTAAATAAAGCTATATGAATTTGCCTGGCGGTCGTTTACGCGGTAATAAGTGTTTTCATAAGTTTGATTTATGGCTATATACCCATCTATAATACCTAAAGTAGACACATTCGATCTAAACTGACTTTTGGTACCTCCTTACCCGCGTAACACTGAGACCATTAATCCCGCTCCCCGTAAATGAAATGTTGATATTCATTCTAGCGCTAACGTCCAGATCTTCTTCAATAACTTCGAGGATGACAGCGGCTGCCGACTGCACGAATCGTGACAATGCAAGCGCGTCTACAACGCGCACGATTCCGACCCCCGATCCTATTCCAACATAACATATAATAGACACGTGTGGGTTCATATTGTCCGAAAATTTTATTCTTCAATTTTCAACAATTACTTGTAACACACAGAGCTAGCTCATGAGAAAATCCTTGATCAAGATTCATATTCCTTGCGGCTTTCAGTTGGCACTCAGACCTCATAGTAATAATTTAAATACTGATTAACATAGCTGCACCAGGGATCACTTTATCATTTGCTTGGATAGCCAAGTCTTCTATTATTCGAATAGTAAAATATTCTAATGGCTTACCCCTGACTGGGCCTTGTATACCCTTGGCGGGGTGCTGGGTCCAAAGTTCACGAATCAGCCTGGGCTCGGTTTGACATTCGTCTTCAACTCGTTCTGTTGTTTGCGTCGCTCTCTGCCGGCGGTCACATGCTCCGAACGCTGCCATATAGTTGTCATACTGAAGGCCCTCTGTGATAAATTAATATATTTAAACAAAAATTAGATAATAAATAGATTGATAAGTTAGATGAGGCTATATTCTCTCTATCTCTGTCTATGTATTTTTGAAGGTAAACTAAGAGCTCAAGGGCAATAAACCTATTAAACGACGTGATTCTTTATATAAGATAAATGTCGAACTTTAGCAGTGTGGGTCTATGACAGGTACCAGCATTCATATCTTTAGTTGCAGCATCAAATCAAAGAGTCTATGGCAGATGACAAATAATAGTAATGAAATTATTTACCGAAATGAAGTGCTAAATGCTTTGACCTGTCGAGGTGGATAAACGATAGAATCTCGTGCGCTCTTATATTTTCATCAGTTTCCTTTTTTCCTGAAAAAAGCAAGAAAAGGATATAGAAATATTTGTACACAGAAAAAAAATAGCGAATACATCAAATTTTCATGCTTCTTTGATACTGGTAACTCAATTTAATGTCCACACGTAGACTGGAAAATACACAGATTACTATTTAAAGACGAAAGAAACCACCAGACCAAAAGAAGTTCTGCCGTAGACCACATTTAGTTACTTTAGAATGAATTAGTAGAGTAAATGTTACACCACTTAGAACCTTTTAATTTGTAACTAAATTGTGTTAATACCTAAAGAAAGGATGATAATATTAACATTTTTTAATTTGTTGTATTCAGTAATTAGGACGTTTGATATAGATTCACGTTTGATACTCACCGTTTGACTGAGGTTTTTGTGTTGTGGGTGGTATGGGTCGCCACCTTTCGGGTGACGGCTCGGATACTTGAAATTGGACTCGTTTTGGAAGCGGTTCTGCAACATTCATTTAAAAAACACTATTATACTTTACACTTGGGATTTCACAACATTACATATTTAGGCTCAACAGAACAGCTACTTACGTAAACTATACGCTTTATTGTCTGTTTACTTTAATGAACATCTGTAAATATTTCTTATTTTTACTTGAGTTTCGTTCAGAATAAGAAAGATCGATGCGACATTTTCTTACCGATCTCCTCATTAGAATTACTGGTTGTCACTGTACCTTCTCCGTTTTCATCCGACTCGAAATCGGAACCATAACTGCTAAAGTCGTCCGAGTAGTTTTCTGCCTCGGAACCTGAATTGCTGCGGGAGTATCGGCCCGATCCAACCCGTTCTCCACCAGGAGTCAGCCCGTCATATCCGTTAACGAGCTTGAAATAAAGTTTGACAGAATCTATTACACTACGCGCTTGCTTTTAGTCAGTGAAATTACGTGCCATCAAATGCCAATAATTTAGTCTTCATAGGAAGCACACGGTGCTTATAACCAAACATAATCTATGACATGTACCAGGCAAAGGAACCTGCATGTTGAATTTTTATATCACACTGTGTACGAGTTTTAAAATGACCCATAGTAATAGATAAAATGAAGCCATTTAAATGTTTCTCCGTTGTCCAGCGACACTTTTCTGATGTTTATAATTATATCTTTATACTAACTACATATGTTATAATGAAATATACGTTTTCCGTGGTATTGCCAGTTTTTTCAACGCCTTTATTAGGTAGCGAAACACCGTTATCGTAGCCGTATGATCCAGTGCTCCTTCGATTTGCTGACGCTTCACCGTAAGCTCGGCCAAGTTCGCTCTTCTGCGAGGTTTTTGAACGATCCGACGTGCTAGTTTTACTACTGCGCTCTAGGCTGTTTGTAAGTCTGGCCTCCTACAAGTGCCGGCCGAAAGAGCGTAATCAAAGAAAAACGGAATTAACAGAGCGCAAACAAGATCTGGCCGTGTTCTAGTTATGGCTTGTTCCCAGGCTAATACGCTTGTCGGTGACAATCTTATTGGAATATTATGAGCAACTTCAATGAAGGTTTTTACAGATGTATAGACGCGAAAGGTTGTCACTCACGGCTTTTCGGTTGTCGGAATCTGAATTTCGGTTGGCTGAAGTAGGGGAGAAGCTCTCATGGGTTGCTGTGCTTCCTCGGCGAGATTTTCCAGACGTTCCTGGTCTTTTTTCTGCATTTTGAGTAACGGCCTTACCGTTACGGCTCTCTTGCACCTTTGGCTTGACTTTTTCATTCTAAATGAAACGGAAAGCTATCCTGGTAAACAACGTGCCTACCAGATGTCGTACCTCGTCCATTTTATACGAGTTATACTGACTCAAGTATATCCATACTTTTCACTATAGACATAAGAATATTTTTTACTAAGGTGCATGATTTTCGGCCACAACGGGATTTGCTAAACCGGGCTCCTTTTCAGACTTATGCATCGTAATACCGATACCTTGTATCATACTGATGTCGTACAAAACAGTTTCAATTTTGTAAATAATTTGATTTCATTGGCTTCTGTCTTTTCTTTCGAACAGTCCCAAAATTGTTTTTGGTCGAGTGTTTCTTCGATAGGTGTTCTGCTTTAAAAAGACAAATTAAAAACGAGTAAATCCACTCTCATTGATCTTTTCTTACCGATATGTTATTGCGTACGTTGGCTGATGAATTCCTAGCAGCCGACGAAGACTGCCCGTATTTTTCTTTGTTGCCATGTTCCCTTGTCTAAAACAAAGGTTATATTTAGCATTTAGCAAGCAAATTTAATATCTTGTCTTGTCGATCGCTTACTTTTTGCTCATAATTCAAGATCCACAAGTTTGATTAAATTTATTCTGCTTGATTAGTCAGTAGAAAGGAAAGCATTATCGTCCGTTTGCAAATGGCCATGAAAAAAGTAATTGTTAACTATCTCATAGGGAAATCACATTAATGGGACAGCCGCAAAACTCTAAGTGAGCCCAAATCGTATCTATCTCATAAAACAAGGTCGGTCCTCTAATGACCGTTAATACCTAACACCATTTTAACCTTTATAGTACATTATACTATTATCGATTCCAATGTCCGAGCTGTCAATGTTTAGGCGCTATCCTAAAAAGACTGCACGTCAACGGCTATAAACAATCATTTGGTCAACACTCATGCTAGAACGGATGAAAGCTATTGCCGATGAAGACAGAAGTTTTCTCTAACTCATAAGTTCATGTGTGAGAGGAATCATTTTTAAATACATACCTCCTTGTGTCGCTGTTTAACATCATTGTTCTTATCTGTGGCCTCCTTGAACTTCCTTATCCCATTTTTCAGTAGGTCACTTTCTTTAAGTACGCTGTCTGAGCTTTTTAGAGCATTGGTAGCACCCGATTTCGCTGTAGTGCCATGGGAACTTGTTGAACTTTTGCCTGTTAGCGACGTTCTGCTACTTTGATTTATCGAATTCGAATTTCTCATTTTACCTTTTAGGGAGACAAGGTGGACGAACCAGGTTATCATTAGATCCTGATTCTGTTTTTTTGTAGTGTTTAAAAGTGTAATTGTAATAGTATTTAGACTTTTAGCATTAATCTCTCTTTGCGATCGTTTAAAACGAATGATCATGGTAAGGAATGAACTTGGTACTAGCGGCTAGCACACGAAAAGCATCGATAGTGAGACCTCCGACAGAAGCATGCCATATCTTCTGAGCATACGCATATCAACGGTACTCTACATCCCAACATGCATGCATAGAGAGAAACCGAAATCATTATTATGAAACAAGACTGTACTAAACTGAAAACCGCACTACATAAACCTAAGCATTTGTAAAGGTAACAAAAAATCTTCTAGTAGTGCACATTTATCTACACGATATCTGCGACTAGCTTTTTTTTTATTTTTGCATAAATACGGCGTAAACAGAACAGTTTAATTTGCGAATTTTAGAAGAAAACTACTACCACTTGAGTAGATCTTCGATGCAGCCGGCACGCTTGTACCTGTTTTACTTGAAGATAATTTGCTCTTCGACCTAAATAAGAAAATTAAAGAAGCTTTGTTATAACAGGTTTAGAATAAAACGTAACAAACATTAACCTCACATGTTTCGATACTTCTATTTTATATGGTTCGACACCTCATGATACTTTGTTTGTTTGTATGTATTGAGGATATATTTGTACTTTTTACAATCTGAGGCCGTGTTTCCCATTATCGTCACTCAGACTTGCAGCAGGCTGATGGTGGGGAACCAACCATTCGGCGCTTGTGAGCTCCATCTAGAAATTATAACGGCCAAGCAAGCTCAGCGTAGAAGCTTTGCGTTCGTTGAAGATTTTACTACGTGAACTATTAGTTTAAAAAATTCGAGTAGGGAAATTGTGAACTCGTGAAGAAGGACTAGCTGAGGGCTGTGGTGAAAGCCGGTTTATCTCAAAGCGCGTTAGCATTCGTGTATGAAAATATCATAGTTGTTTATCTGGGTTGAATTGATGAGATAAAGAAAATTAATTTGAGAAACTATCCAAAAATAGAGACGTGAAGACACTTAATCCTCTTTGTTCTCGCGTTACGGCAGTGACCCATTCTACCATCGAACTGTAACTTACGATGAAAAACGAAAATCGTAGAGGCCAGTCAGTGGATGGATGCCCCCAAATTGACGACGTGTCTTCTCGAAACGAATATATAGCTGTAAAATTTTATCGGTGATTAAGTGCATTAAATAAGTCCTAATTTACCGGTTGAAGGAACTCCGCATTAAGCAGCCAAGATTAATGAACGGAAATAAATCATTTCTGCTGCTCTACAACGATCGATAATACACAACAAGGATGACGGTAGTAAAAATGCAAGGGGTACAATCGAAGGCTCTTTGTATTCCACCATGCTTGTCAGTACTAATTGCCATTTTTTCATGGTATGAACATTTTTTTTAGTCTGAAAATTACTACAATTTTAACATGATGCCGAAATGACATTTGGAAATTTCGTAACCTCTTATACCACAGATTTCTGCGTTTCCACCATGCCACGTTCCATACTGAACGATCTGGTGTTTCAGATAATATCGCAATTGTGTATATATAAATACGGCTTTGCCATGAAGATATACTGGAGTTTCCTTAGTAACTATATATATATATATATATATAGTTCCGGCAATGCTCATCGTTATTGTCAACCCTCCTTGGGATTGTTTTCCAGTTGAGTGTATATCTTCACATCAGCGCGAAGTGTGTACCTACAACTTTTTAAAGGCTCGAATATTGTTGTGCGCTTCCCTTGTTTATCTTATTCATATCGTTTAACACGTACTTTCTTTTAATGCCCCTATTACTACCTAAGAGACTAAGTAAACCAGTACAAAATGGAGGCCGTTTCGACACCATACTAACTCTGTGCTGTTCCTTTTTTTCTCGGCACGCATCGTTCGAGTCTCATCTTTCGTCTTAAGGCCATCCTGCTTGTCGACGGCTTCTTTTGCCTTTCGGTCACTACGCTTATTTAAGCGCACCTCTTCAACTGTGCCCCACGGTGCGAGCGCCTGTAGATAGTCAACACATTACAAGCGTTAGACTACACCAAAAGATTGAACCATCAAGAGTATTATACCTTAGAAGGCACGGAAACAGTTGATATTGATAGTTACAAATAGCTGCCTATGAGATTCACTAGGCTGAAAAGCTACAAAGGACGTTTTTGGCTCGTGGACTTTATAAATATCTGTGCTAGTCTTTCGAACAGAGAACGCCATGAATAGGATGCAGGATGTTGTACATAGATAGAAGTAAGCTTACGTAGTTAATAATAGGACTAGGAAGAATGGTTTGGCATAATAATCCTATTCCGATCGCGCACCGTTAGGCCGGAACGTCCATGAGCATTAATCGAGCTCCGCGTATCCGGACGCCATTGATACTAATTTTTCAACACAAGTACACCAATTGGATGAGCTAGGAGCACAAAAGGCAATGCTAAGCTCAACATTATATAGTTATCTATAGATACCACTGGCTGAACGTACATAGTCAAAACGTTTAGGGAAAACCTAACATAGTCACTTCTTTCTTTTGTTATATCTGCCGCGTTGCTGGCGGGGTACTGCAATAAAATAACAATAGTGTTATAATCACGCATTGACTGTGGGAGATTTTATAGATACGTATTTCAAGGAGACTTTTCTACCATGGTGTCCTCAGTTGTATGTATGATTTGTGAAAACCGAGAAATACCGACATATGACTACAAACTACACACGCGATAAGGAAAAATTTTAGACAAGCCCGAGTGCGACTCAATTCAAATATACACATCGGTCCTCGAAGTTGACTCAATGTGGAACTCAAACACTATTTGAGGTCTAATACTTTTCATTTTTCCAGCAATGAATTAAAAAATACCTGTGACCAACAATTGAGTAGTAGAGACCAAGTGACGCTTAATTTTTAGTTGTCACCATAGAGGCTTTTGCGATCGATGCGCTTCATCGAGACACAACAAAGTTATATGTATAATAGCAACATATAGTAATAATACTTGGCTCAAACAAACGTCGGACAGTAACAACCAAAATAGCATAGTCCTCTGAAAAGGCTGGCGTTGAAATTAAGCAAAATTTCAATATACTTTTACTCACTTATTATGAATACAGTATATAACATTGGGAAGCTGCTGTGAGGAAACTGCCTAACTTGTTCCTCATAGAGCTCTACATGGCACTCTGATCAACGGAATTATCGATCTCGCCGTTATCGTATTATGTTATCTGACATATACTGGACACGCTTGTCATTCAGGCTGTCGAGATACACTTCACTAGCGTGAATCGGCCAGAAATTTGGCTAGAAAAAGAAGATTCAGGCTCTCTCTAATCCAAATATGTCGTGCATCAATACACCATTAAATCCATTGAGTATAAATACGAAGTCATCAATTACTTAAAACAAGATACATGGCTTCTATAGTTTAGCAGTAGTCAAAAGCTATTTGATTAAGGCTCGATATTACCTAACAAGGACCACCAGCAGAGGGTTTGACAACAAGTTTTTAATTTCACCATTGCCAAAATATCGTTTGATGGTTTGTACATCCTGGTAATCCCGTACAACTTTCAAATTCTCCTCATCTTTATTGCGAATCAAAATGTGGTTCTTCCACACTGTGAAGATGAGACACTGTGAAGCTATATACATCGAACATCGATCACATTAATTCAAGCAGATTTTGTAGACCTTTGGATAACAAGCCTACGCAAGAACCGCTGCTGATTCCTCCGACGCCATTAGCGTAAATTTCGTTTTGATTTCAATAGAAAAATTAACAGTTAGGCAGCTATAGACTATGACGGTAGGCATCGCTCCAGTTTCGTGAAGGGGCTTTCGAAGCAAAAGTCTAAACAATGGTCCAAAGCTGGTGATATAGCTGATTATTTTATAGTACAAAACACGAGCATATAGACAGCCTTCTGATATTTGCTGAGCAAGTGAGCGTCTTCGTCCGCAGCGGGTATTTTTTACGAGTTATTAGAATGGTACGATTTGTTTATGTGCATAGACTATAGCATTTATACTCCACGGTAGATATGTCGAGGGATACTCGCCCGCTCCTGCATTGACGACGGGACCACACCAACAACAGAGCTTCCAGCAGGAACTATACGGGACACCGGTGTCTGTTGACCCGGAGGGCCTAATCAAAACAGCTTAGACGACCGTCACCTACGCCCATTTTACTTACTCTCAGCAGCAGCCGATACTGCGTGCTGTCATGGCAACGTCCACAAACGTTACCTCCAAAGTGAGCGGGGCCCTTTTAAGTTCTATGGGGAACTCTAAACTCAACCTCGTCCATTAACTAGATGTGTCATTCGTACGGTATGACGTATTTTGCATCGAATGGAGCTCCTATATATATATATATATATATGCAGCAGGTGTTTCTTACGCGGTATCTATGATTTGATTGAGACGAATTCAGAAAGAAATGGCGTAATGCCGAAATAATCTACAGTGACTAGACCGGGTAGATATTAGAGGACTAACGGGTCGGTAAAGAGGTTTTTAGATAACTGCAAACATAAACAACTATCTTTCACTGAATAGCTGAAAGACACAGATACTAAAATGTAAATATGGAGTTATGGAAAAAATATTGACTGCTTTTTTGGCTAGATGGCTTTAGTCACGTAACATGAGTCACGCTGAGTTGGCGTCACTCGAAATCACAAATACTGCTGCCCAGACCCATAAAAAAACGTTATGCTGTCCACAGTCAATATGCGATGTCGCAAGAAACGGTCCGAGAAGATGCTTCATTTTGGAAAGTTCTATGTAAAAAAACACTCCACGTAGTGGTCGGGCTAAATGCAAAAGAAATGAACGAGGTCAAGACTGGCACGTGAGTAGCTATGATATCACTAAGGACTAAATATCCACCACCAAACGGTTTTATAATGTTTGTAATGTAAAGCTAGCCGTAAAAAAAACACTCAGTATTTGGCTGGGGCACAAATTGACGCAAAATAATATACATATACAAAATTTTATTGAAACGGAGCGAATCGAAATCAGGCCAGTTTTAAAACGAGTTATAAAAAGTGGACCATATTTAATGATAATGTAAAAATTGAAAAAAAAAATGAATGTGGTTCACAACTGTGGAAAGGTTTAGGCCGACAAGAGGGAAGGTGATGCTATGCGTTTAATGAGATTAGAAAGGAAACGTGCACTGTAGGCTGCTAGCGCGTGGCAAAGGGTTGATTCAGATTTCAACTGTCAACAACAAGACATTGAAAAAAATGAACGCCAACTCGTAATCAGGGAAGGCGTCCTATTTTATTATGGCAATGCCAGACCACGTATATTTTTAGTCACTCGGTACATATTTTGGTCGGAAAATTTTGCCCATTTGCCATATAGTCTAGATAACCAGATGGCGCAAGATCTGGTTGTTTGTTTCTGCGAAGACCCGCAGAACTTCTTTAATGGTGTTAATTTAAGTTCAGTGGAGGAATACAGAAAGCACTTGCCACTATTCGTCGCCCGGAAGTTCTACAGTGATAGGTTTAGCGTGTTACAAGAAAGATGACAGAAAGCCACTGATCGCCCGATCGCTGAGAATGGCCCGTATCTGATTTAGTATTATTACTTAAAAAAACAAAAATATTTGCTTCAATTTTAGCTTAAAGGACCCAGCATTCGTCGACACGGGTCGAAGCAATGATAAATCGCTACTAGCTAATTTTCTCCCTTATCTTTCCAAGGTACAGAGCCGCGACGGTTTCTAATGATGGTCTATACTCTTCTTGACGTCTGAGTTTATTTCATGCAATATTTGTTACGTATTTTGATAAACAGGACTACTCCAAGTCCATGAGCCTGTTTAGGCTCAAATCAAGAATCAAACTGTAGCGACGACTCACGTTGAGTAATAAAAATTAATTTATGAAATTAGCCATAATCAGAAGATGTTACGTAAGACCATTGTAATATTTAACTGCGGTATGGTAGCAAATCATTTTTTGAAAGATGTCACAGCGAATATGAGCCAGGCTTGATTTGGCAATGGTGATTTGAATCTACTGTTTTACAAGAAATCCAAAGCTAAGTGAACTTCCCTCGAAACCCACTCTATTTTGGTTTTCTTATTGGGCCTATGTGAAAGCCAACTTAAGTTTGCTCTGTTCTCAATTTGCCACGGAGCCCAGCTATTTTATCGGCATATTTAATGGCACGTCGAGAAACGAGTGCCACGACGAAAACTCACTAGCATTGTACCGTTTGTTCGGTGCGAAAAACAATAAGAACAGTGATGCCATTTTGGATAAATATTCTGCCAGCCGATTTATTTAAATGGAACGCTTAGCCGGGATCTGCGGCTCGGTGGTTCGTTGTGATATTTTTAAAAGTTTTTTTCTTGAAGCACAAACGAGCATTGTTATTGAAGAAATATACATCATCAACAAGCTCGATCACTCTATCAAAAGGCTTGCCATTACCATGGCCGGCAGGCCGGCCGGCAGGCCATCCACAGCGGCGAGGAATGGCCTTTCTCCTCCAGTTTCCTTATTAGATCGTGTGATTGGCGTCTTGCTAGCACGATATTGGAGTTCATTTCAGATATTGGAGTCAATAAATTTCAGCGAATGCGCTGGCACGTCGCAGTAAGCCGTAGCGACTAGGTATTTGTATTGCTAGAGATATTGTGCAGTGGACTAGGGCGTTCAATATACTCAAAGTCTGGGGCGGTACCAGGATTGCCATACTTTGTTGTCCACGTGTAGCCGACGGTAAGCAGTAGAAACGCAGCGGCCGCGGTTGCTGCCAAGTGTTTGAGTGGTGGATTGATTGAGGCGAAACTCCCAAATACGTCGCCAGAACGATTAGTCAAAACGATTGTCTTTGGCGAACTGTAATTAGCTCCATCGTTACATTATATCCTTTATCTGGTTAGCGACTTGACGTACCTTAAAGCATGTCGAATTAGCAAGCAAATCTCTTGAAGATGGATTCTCATCTAAAAACAGAGAAAAAGGGTTTTATCCTTTTTACGGTGCCTTGCATGTCCTGCAATTCTTCCTGGATCCTACAAAACCAAGTATTCGATCTTGGAGTTGATAGTGTCAATGTGCGTAAAGGGGAAGTTTGAACGCCTTTGCTTAGTGTAGTTCATCGGCGACAGTCGTAATAGGCTCTACCACTCACTCGAATAATGGCCGCAGAACCCACCGTGTCTAATACAAAATGTCCATAATAAAAATAATCCCTTCCATCGATATACAATGATTTTCCTAAAATAGTGTGCTTACAGTTATTTTAATAATAATAGTGTTTACTAATGGGACTATTATCATTCTGACCCGGCTGCGACATCAGCTGCGTCCAATCTCGAGCTCGAAAAAAGAACCGGAATAGTTGCGTTAAGTTAAAACGTCGCTCATGTCCAAGGATGAGAGTTTTAACGCATCTTTTCTCGTACGATTTCACTTGTTGGGTGGGGGGGGGGGGGTTGCACAGCCCTGCTCCAAGGCTTATACCTCATATTGTAGCAGTCAACATTTGTAATTTAGTACAAAATCTACTTCAATTTCCCAGCAAATATGCCCCGGTTCGCACGCCTCTTAATAATGGCCCCTATTATTCTGTGATTGGAAAATGTAATAGTTAAGTTCCTTTTTATATTGTTTAATAATATATAATTTAGTAAATCATTAAGCGGTTATGATAATGACGATTAATCCCCAGCTGGGAATTGAGCAAATAATACGTTGGCAACATATTCATGTGAAAATATCTGTAGAATCTAATATCTCGTAGTGGATACCGTGCGTATTGGGCGGACCGCAGACGAGTTTTTGCTTAATTTTAATGTTTGCCGGAAGACCGGAACTCTGCACCTTGAAGAGAGACACTTTGCTTTTACCCTGCTTAAAAAAAGTTCTAAATTGGCCAAATGCACCTTTTTATGAGTGACTTTTCTTAATCAACTAAACAATAACAATAAGCCGAACAGTTAGGGGGAGCCACTATCATTTACTCACTTTATTTATACAATTTATCTAGCGTTTGTATGGAGCGCCGTCTAAAATAACCTGATTATTATTCTCTGTTCATCGTAGGGTCACAGTTCGCGCACTAGAGAGTGGTATCCAATACGTATGCCTATTTTCTCCCCTAGGCAACAGGACCTAACGCTATCCACGATGCCAACAAGTTGTTGAATCGCATCTGCTTCTTGGAAGTTGAGGTTCGAGAAACGATGCCAGCACTGCCGCTGACTCCGCAAGTGAGGACAAACTCACCTCTGTGTCGATGGATGAACACGGCCCACTATCGCAATGAGTTGTTTCGAGTTTTTTTTTTGTGTGAACTTATTAGAACACGTGAAGAGTCAATCAGTGGTGTCTTACGTCCGTCGCTAATTGGGCGCGTGAATGTAATGATAGTCGCTGAAGTTGGTTTACATTTAGAAGTTGGCCAACCCATCTCTTAAGTTGCTGTCGGAACAGCAATCTATAAATGCTACAGGACGTGATCTTAATGATCGAACGGATCGAGTGCATCATTCAAATGTCGTGTAGAGGCGCGACCATGAAGGCTTTATCTATCCCGACGAAAAAGTCCATACAATACCCCGGCACAATTATATGATGGTTGTGTACAATATGATTCGTTATATAAGGCAAAGGCCCACTCGAGCAGGTGGGATATGTGTGGTAATGATACAACTGAGGCATCGTCGTTTTTTTTTCTCACAATTGCAGTTAAACTATTGCACTAGTCGTTGTAAAGAAATTGTATTAGTACAGAATTTCTGGTCTATTTTGTTTTTGGAATATGTCAAATTATAAACGTATGCATAATATACCTGATTTCATCTGATAGGACCTATTGCAAAACAGACGCAATTGGCAAAAAATGACGTAACTATAACCTGAAGTTCTGCACTGTTTTTTTTTCGAGTGTGAATCATCAATGCTACGACGATGCTTTTGTAGAAACGTGAACGCTGCTATTTGCGCGTATAGGAACAGTTGTTAATGGAATAACTATCCTCGACTTGAATTGTGAGCTTATTTTCTGCAATAGCTGGCAGTCACGGTACGTGATACATTCACTGCTGATCCGAAGTACAAAATCTTGTTCAACTCTTTTGCCGAACAAACAATCTATGTACTGC